GGATCTTCGAGCTGCTGACAGTGGTTGTCTTGGCAACGCTAGGGCCTGGCAAGCTCTGCAGAAGGGTAACCATGGGGGGAGCAGCCCTTTCATCTCCCCGATTCGGGTACAAGTGGCCCAGCTGTCTTAAGGCTGGGCCGCAGGACCCGAGCCAGGCCACCCGGAGCCAGGCTACCCGGTGCTGGTCTAGGCCAGGAGAGGCAGCAGGGGCAGATGAGTCCCTTCTGTGCACCCACCTCCTCGTGGGACTTCGCATCTTTGCTCTCTCAAACTCTCCCCTGCCCAGGGAGGGGAGCGACACACCCCAGCTGGCGGGGCAACAAGGCTGAGCCAGAACCCACCTAGCCTGAGGGTCTCCGGAGGCCGGCAGCCTGCCGGCAGGGTCCCTAGGGCAGCCAGGGCCTGCATCCCTGACATCCCGCTCAGTCCCTGTCCCGTGTGGCCTGGTGTCAGCCCCTTCTCCCACCCTGGGCCCTCCTCTGGGCACGTCCCTGCTCTGAGGACTGGGGTGTCCCCGGTGGTGTCCCCTCAGCTTCACTCTGGGCCGAGTGCTCTGTGAACACTGTCTCCTGGTTTTCACTGCTTGGTAGAGACAGCCAAAAAACTGGGACCAGCCTCTGCTGTGTGACCACAGCCAGTCCTCCCCTCTCCCGGCCTCGTCTTATCTCTGGAATGAGGGGCTTGCACGACAGCGGTGTTTCCGTGTGTGGTTCATCGGGCCACTTGTTTTTTGGGAAACTCACACACGTGGCAACCAAAAAGGAAGTTCCTTGGCTAAACAAGTTCGGGAAGTGCTGGAGGAAACAAAGTCACTTCAACACCTTTATTGTAGGCTTTCTCAGAGCCTTTAGCAAGCTAGTGGGCACCTGCCTCTCCGTGGGGGAAAGTAAGTGCCCTGTCCCAAACACCGGGGTGCAGGGCCACCTGCTGTCCCAAGTGCCCTGTCCCAAACACCGGGGTGCAGGGCCACCTGTTGTCCTAAGTGCCCTGTCCCAAACACCGGGTGCAGGGCCACCTGCTGTCCGTCCTGCCCTCTGCCTTTCTCTTCCTCCTCTGGGAAATCCCGAAGGAAGCCCTCGCAGCCTAGAGCTGTGGGTTTTGTTGGCTGCTCAAAAGCAGCCCCGAGCTTAGCAGAGGCTGGGTACGTCTCTGCTTGAGCTCAGGAAAAGCCGGGCCCTTGCACCAGGCTTCTGAGGAGCTGCTTCTGGGCTGGTGGGCGCGTTGGCCTCTGGCCTAGTGGAGCTCGCAGGTCTCCAACCCTGTATGGCCATTCTGCTCCGAGTCCCAGGCCCTTCATCACTCTCCTCACTCCTACACCTTGGTGGATTCCTCTTCCTTGAATGCAGTCCCCTCCTCCAGAAAGCCTTCCTTGACCCCTAGACTGGATCAGGTGGCCCTCCCCTGCCTTCCTGGCCACACTCTGGCCCTGGAGTGAGAATCCCTGGGTTTGGGTGCAACCCTCCCACAGATGCATTCTGTGACTCGGAGCAGCCACTTCTCTCCGGTTTTCTGGCTTACAGGGTGGGAGAGCCGTACAGAGGCCTTCAAGGCTGCGTCATGACGGAGCACTGGGGCTGCCAAGAGAGAGCCAGGCCAAGCAGTTCCACCTGGCAGCCTGGTCTGATCTTTGTTTTGAAGCCCCCCCCAACCCCTGTCTGCACCACGCTGTGGGATGAGTGTGGGTGGGGAACAACGGAGCGAAGGATGTACATTCTCTGGGGAAAGGATGCCCTGGGGGTGGGGAGGCTGGGAGTTGCTGAGTGATCGTAATAATTTCACCATAGACTGTGGGTGTGGAGAAGGGTGGAAGATTCGGTGAGCACCACACCTCCATTTCCATATGAGGAGGCAGGCCCAGTGTGACAGATGGGCCTAGAGTCACACACACACACACAGCAGCTGGGGCTGCTGACCTCGCGCACCTCAAACTTGCACCTTTATGCTTTCCAGTTTAGGCCCTGGCTCCATCCTTAGCCCACTGTCTCCTCACAACAGTGCTGTGTGGTGAAGCAGGGATATTACCTCTGAGTGCAGGTGAAGAAAGTGAGGCTCAGAGAACTTACGTAACTTGCAAAAGGTCACACAGCCCACAAGTGGCAGGGCAGAGTTCAGTTGACCAAGGACTGCGGGCCACTTTCCTTGGCCAGTGTTCTTATTATAAATGGCCACTCCCACTTCCTTTGTCCTGGATCTCCCATTCTCCCCCACTCAGCCCTGGTATCAGCCCCTCCCCACCGCCCTTTGGAATCCCAAATCCTTTGTGGCAGCCCATCTGTTGCCATGGCACCAGATTATGATGTCGCAGACCCTGGATGACTGTGTACTGTTCCTGGGCTGTGGAGTACAGGGACCCACAGAGGTGGGCATTGTCCAGGAGGCGACGGGCTTGGAGAGACATGCATCCCTGGAAACGGAGCCCCGGCCTCCAGCCCAGCCGGGGAATCACCCTGAGAGCTGGAGCCAAGGCCGTTGGGTCCGGGAGAGCAGGGGCTGGCATGGCTTGCTCTGACAGCCTCAGAACGCTGCCCAGCCCTCATCACTTGGCAGTGCTGATGTAGCCTCTTGATGAGGGGCTGTTGGGCTCAGTTCACTGGGATGCTTGCTTAGACCCTCGGGAGATCCTTTTTGCCTTGTGTCCTGTGTCAGTGCTGCATGGGAAAGCCACCGGCCCCACTTGCCCAGAGTCGCCCAGAGACTCGGCCTCAGCTCTGCTCCAAATCCTTCCACGAGGTTACACTTCAGACGGGCCTGTCAAAGCAGTTTAGTCCCCAGCCTGCAAGTGGCGTGCTGCCTGCCTCCGCTTCCCCAGGGCAGTCCATTAGAGCACAGGCTGTCGGAAGCCCGGGTGTGTTCTGCTGCCCACTGTGGCCACATCCAGGGGGACACCTGGTGCAGGCCCCTCCGGGCTGTGGTTGCTCTGCCTTGCCCTGGGCTCCTGGACCTAGTCCCACTGCGTTTGCCTGTCTGGAGTCCTGACTCAGCCTGGACCGCTGCGATGGCGGAGGAACTTAGTGCAGGGAGACTAAGCTTTGGCCGCCGCCTGGAACTGAAATCCCGCCTCCGCCGCCTTCCACCCTCACCCCTTTGATCCTCAGTTTCCTCTTGTGTGAAACGGGATTCACAGCAGCTACCCGGGCATCGACTAAGGTCAAATTGTTACCCTGCCTTCACCCATACATGACCTTGGGTGTGTAACTCAGCACCCCTAGATGTTCTCGTGTGTCAAGGGGAACAGATGGGCCCTTCGTTGTGAGGTTTCCCTGTAAAGTAAGTACCTGGCACAGAGACTGGCACCCAGGGCACACTCAGAGGATGCTGGGACAGGAAAACACTGGGAAATATGTTTCTTTTCTGGATGCTGGGCTTCTGGTGGAGAAAACACTCTGCTGCCCGGGTTAGGAAATGCCCTGAGAGCTGTGGTTCACAGCTGTACTTACTTTCAGATGGCTATGGGCCATGATTTACCAAAAGGCAGGGTTGGTGTCCATTACCTTCCACCACCCCTTGGTGCAGGCAGGGCTCAGGAAGGGCTGCTGGGCACCCTGGCCTGGGGGTCAGGAAAGCTGCTTCTGATCCCTGCCTTGCTGGCTCCCTGGGCTGCACGCTTTCTGTTCCTCTCTGAGCCCCCAGCTCCCCATCTGTAGGTGGATCTGATTCCTAGGGTTTCTTCTAGCCCTGCACAGACAAAGGTGTTCTTCTAAGGAAACTGGAAGAAAACTTAGGATGCAGATCCAGTGCAAAGATTCCACTGAAAAGGAATGCAGAGATGGAATGGATTTAGGAGACCCAGTATCTGTCCCCAAGTCCTGCCTGCCAGGCTGCTGGGGCAGCGGGGTGGGGCAGGGGCAGGTGGCAGTCATGTGGTTCCAGAGGCAGCCAGGGGACCTGTGAGAGGATGCACAAAATCCCAGGCTGGCCACTGGGAAGGAGCTTCTGGGAACAAGGGGAGCCCGGCTCTGGAGTGTGTGCGCAGAGGCTGGGCAGCTATGTGTCGAGTGGGCCCGCTGCGCCCGCAGAGAGCTACCCTGATTTAGGTCCTGTGCTGAATGTGACCTAGTCCCTACACTGGAGGAGCACCGGGCCAGTGGAGGGACAGGGAGGTCGGCAAACCATGATGGACTGCGTCCTTGTCCCCGTTCTGCTACTGGCTGAGAGATCTCAGCCTGCTGCACACAGCCCCTGGGACACCACAAAGCACCCCATTTCCTTTGCTTCTAATTAAGACTTCCGACGATAAAAACAGCAATGGCTGCTACTTACTGAGTGTCTGCCATATGCCAGCAGCTCTTGTGCATGTTCTTTACACGTTACAACTTGCGTCTCTCCCCTGCAGAGCCCTTTGTTTTCTTCTTCCCATTATATAGAGAAGAAAATAGAGGCTCAGAGGTTAAGTAACAGCCCCAAGGTCAGACAGAAAGAGGCAGGGCTCAGATGCCCCCCCCCATCACCATGTGGAGGCCTCCCCCTCTAGACCAGAAGCACTCTGAGGGGACAGAAACTAATTTGGTGTCTTGCCCAGTAGATAGAGTCTCTTTGCACCACTCTTTATTAATCTTGCTGCAAAGCAACCATTCGCCTTTATGATTTATTATCACCAGCATTCTGGTGCTTGTGGATGAGGCCTTGATTTTGGGCTAGATGGGGGGAGTGGGACAGGCAGGTAAAAGGACCGAGAACTGGCAGAAGGGAAGGCTTCCTGGAGGCCGTGACGGTGGAACTGGACTTCAGGGGAAGAGAGAGGTGTGGTAAGGGCTGTTCCTTTGGTGAGGGGTCCTGTTACCCTTGTCGGACTTGAGCTCTGAACTTGGAGGGCAGGACACGCGTCACCTTGTCTCCACCCGGTGCTCAGTAAAAGCCTTTCTCTCCTGTCCTCTCCTCTCGGTCAGTGGGGCACCCCGGGCCCTGGGGGGCTGGGGAAGGCTATGTGGTTCAGCGTGTTTTGGTCGCCCCACAGTCAGCTGCCTACCAGGCCCCTCACACCTGTCCCCTTGCCCCCGCAGCCAAGAAGACCTGCACGGACAGTGACTTCACCTGTGACAACGGCCACTGCATCCCCGAGCGGTGGAAGTGTGATGGCGAGGAGGAGTGTTCTGACGGCTCCGATGAGTTCGAGGCCACTTGCAGTGAGTCCCGGTCCTCGGGCTGGGGGCGGAGGCCTTGCCCCAGGCCCCAGTTTCCTCACCGGTCTTCCCTTTCGGGAGGGTGGGAGGCTCCAGTGAGGCGATCCGTCAAACGGCCCCAGATGTACTCTGCACTGTGTCGTTGGGGCTCCTGGCGAGCAGCAGGTGGACCCGGCGGCTGGAGTCTCTGGGCCTGCTGCAGGGCTTTCTCCATCCCCTCACACTTCGGGCCTGCTCCTGTCGTGCCAGGGACTGGGGGCCGCCCCTCTGAGCCTTCTGCCCAGAAGTAGCCATGGCATGTCCTCTGGTCCTCCCCTCGGCCTTCCCCACCAAAGGGCTCTAATCAAAATTCTTTTCTTTTTTTAAAGATTTTATTTATTTATTTTAGAGAGGGAGAGGGAGAGAAACATCAATGTGTGGTTGCCTCTCCAGTGCCCCCTGCTGGGGACCTGCCCCACAACCCAGGCACGTGCCCTAGACTGGGAATTGAACCAACAACCCTTTGGGTTGCAGGCCGGCACTCAATCCACTGAGCCAGGCCAGCAAGGGCTCGTGATTCTGATAGTACTTATGAGACCTGGTGCTTGTGAAGCCTGTATGCACTGTGGGGCCGGCTCTGTGCTAAGCTATCTGTACACATTAATTCAGTATCCTCACCGCAGCCACATGGGGCAGGTCCTGTCACTTTCTGGATTTTGCAGAGGAAGGCACCCAAGGCTCCCTAGCCAGGACTTTGAGGCCCCAGTTTCTCCCCGCCCTTGAGGGCAGACTGGGCAGCCAGGGGTGAGGGTGAAGGCCAGAGCTGAGCCCCAGGCCTGCCTCCCACAGTCGGGGCTTTGTCTCCCGGGGATTTCCTTTCCAGGCCCTAATCCTCAAAGCAAACTTACACCAGGCAGGTCGTTCTGTGACATTTGTTAAATTAAAAAGGAGATGAGAAGGGGGTGGGGACAGACCCAGTGGTCCTGGAGGCAGTTTCAGCAGAGTGAGCCTGAGACAAAAGGCTGGGAGGATGGGGTGCAGCACGTGGAGGGTGGTGGGGCTGGAGGAGACCTGCCTGGGTCCTCATTAGGGCTCACAGTTGCCCCAGAGACAGGGGCAGGGACAATGGAGTCCTGGTGTCCCATCTAGTCCCATCTAGGGCTGTAGCTAATGAAAACTAGGTTTCCTTGTCTCCTAGCAACAGAGCTACCAGTATCCTAGCGAGAGAGAGGGAGGGAGAGGGAGAGCGACCCCTGCCTGGGACAGGCCCCAGGTTTCCAGGCCCTGCAGCCCCAGCCTTCCCTGCCTTGTCCCAGGCCCCATCCTTTGCTCACCCCACCAGGGAGCCACACCCAGTGCTGCCCTAGAGGTGCCTGGATTGTCCTGAGCTTTAAAAGGAACAAAGCCCGGCCACACCCACTGTGACTCTCATCCTCCTGACGACCTTGAAAGGGGAACTGGATCCTCATTTAGAGAAAAGAAAACGGCTGGGACAGGTTCACCCACTTGCCTAAGGCTACCCAGCTAACTAGGGGCACTGTCGTGTGTGTGCGCGCGCGCGCGTGTGTGTGTGTGTGTGTGTGTGTGTGTGTGTGTGTAGGGGGGCTGTGGCCACAGGGGGCTCTTCTCCATCACACAAATCAGGGGGGCCATCCAGCCCTCACTCCAGCAGTTACCCTGGACACTGCGGGCAGCAGGGGGGGAGAGGAGCCTCATCACTGTTATTATCCCATCCTCTTGCCGCCTGAGAGCTTTGCTCCCTGCTTCCCACACGTCCCTTTGTGTTTGATGTCCCTGTTCATTCTTCTCCTCCCCTCTTCCCCCCCACCAGGCCCTGTCCACTCCCGCTCTCTGCGGCTGACTCCCTTTGCTGCCCGCCCCTCTCCCTCACCCTGCCCTGCCCCGTGTTTCCTTGTCATTGTCCCTTTTGCCCATCTAGCACTTGCTGCCTTCCCGTCCTCGGCCCTGTTGAGGCCCTCTGGCCTCACCCCTCCTGCCTCCCAGGCCTGCTTTGGACCCAGCTCCGAGGCACCGCTGTTTGACAGCCGAGTAACTGGAGGCCTAGAGAATGTGTCTGCCTTCCGTGACAACAGGCTCCACAGGCTCCCTGAGGCACGAGAGAGCACCCGTGGGAGTGCAGTGAAGGCTGCACCCAGGATTCGGGAGGCCCCGTTCTCTGGGCTCCCCCAGTGGTTTGCTCTGAGGCCCTGCATACTTTTCTGCCTCTCTCTGGGCCTTGGTTTCTAACATTCTAGAATTCTAAAGACCATGATTCTAAGATTCCGAGACTCTTAGGATTCTGGGACCCTCTTTCTCCCTTGCCTGTGCCCAGCTGGGACACAAGGCCCAGGATTCCACTTCCCAGGCAGAGCTGCGGGTCAGAGGCCCACAAGCCTGTGGGTGGGGAGGGCTGCCTGGAGGAGGCTGGCCAGGGCGGGAGCTCGAGGGTCAGGCAGAACTGGGGGCAGCAGGACCTGGAAAGCTGGCTTGCTCACCGCTTCCTGCCTGAATGGGAACCCTGCAGCCAACCCCACTGCCCATTTAATTGGTGTTGTCATAGCAACCTTCACAGCCTACCAGGTTTCTGGGGACAGTGCCAACTCCCAGGATTGAGCCCCTCCCCACCCCACAAAGAAAGATTATAGGCAGTAGTAAAGTGTAGTGGGGTGAGGTGTTTGATGTATTTGGGTTCAGGCCCTCTAACCTGTGAGGCAAATTGCCCATTCCCTCTGGGACTCATCTTGTTCATCTCTAAGATGGGGGTAACGGTACCTGCCTTACAGGGGATGTGAGAACAGAGTGAAAAAAAATGCACACGGAGTGTCAGTGCTGGAGTAATCGGCAGTGCTGATTTCATTACTGTATTTTGACTTCAGGCCCTTTCCCTCACATACAGCAGTTTTAAATCAGGGAACAGTGTAAGTGAGGGGGTTGCATCACGAGGGCGAGGGATTTGGGAGCAGCTCCTCATTCCCCTGTCCCTCCACCATGTCGTCGCCCCCTAGCTGGCCGGGGTTTCTCCCAGCTCTCTTTCCTGCCGGTTCTAGACTCTGTGCCTATCAAATGCAGTCAGGAGTCAAGGTAGTAGGAAAGCCTGGGACATTTGCCTAATGAAAGTAGCATTGCAGCTCTAATTATAGCTCACTTGATTGGGGCTGCTGACCCACCTTCAGGCATCTGTTGGGAGGGGAGGCGGTGGGGAGAGTGGTTCAAGGTGAGAGTTATAATCATGGGTGCTGCTTATGAAAGGGGGTTTTATTCAGGAATCTTAGAGCCTTTCCCCCTGGAAGAGGACCTCACTGAGTAGCCAAGCGCACCTTCCTCTATAAGACATGGGAGCCCAGAGATTTTCTGTGATCACCAGCAGGCTAGGGGCTGACCCAGCTCCCAGTACTGACTATAACCCCATGTGAAGGAGTTGGTGCAATTGCCCCTTCCACACGGTGGATGGTCTCATGCCCCACTTCCTGGGGCAGCAGCGGCCGGACGCTGACAGTTCGCACTGCCTGAGCCCTGGTCCCCTTGGAGCTGGCAGCCCCCCTTCAGAGGTCATCTGCCCCTAAGCCTCATGTAACCAACACTGTGGACCCGCTCACTCAGTAAGCAGCTGTGAAGCGCTTCCGTTCTATTATTCAACAGACATTTTCCTTTTTATTAATTTGTGAACTTATGAATTAGAGAAAGTACCCATGGGTTTGGATTTCTGGGGCAGGATGCTCTGGGGATTTACCAATGCCTACAGACACTCCAGTGAGCCAGACCCTCGATGGCTCTGCAGGATTCCTGGCGTCTGAAACAGGGCGCTCCTCACTCCTGCCTCTCAGAACCTGGGCACATGTGGACAGCAGGCGAAGGCCTCCCTAGGGCATCTGCCCTTGGAGAAGAAGACAGAGGGGCAGAAAGAGAGACAGATGCAGAGGGACAGACAGGCACATCCGGGGTGGGCCCTGACTGCACATCCCCAGCCCTTTGGGGCCTCCCAGGGCCCTCCCAGCCCTTTGCCTTTGCATTTATGAAATAAAAACAAGGGCCACTGTTGTTTTCTGAGCTCTGAGTTTGTTCCAGGCTTTGAGAGTAAGAATCTTCAGAGGTTCCCCCATTTAAACCACCCACTGACTCCAGAAGATTGTGTTGCCCCGTTTTCAGATGAGGAAAGCCAAGGTACAGAAAGGTTAAGCGGCTTGTGAAGGAGCTTCGTGTTAGTAAATGAGGTTTGGACCCAGGTCTGTCTGACTCAAAACCCACACTCTACCTCCTGCATTGTGTTGCCTGGGACATTTGGCGTTGGTCATCCTGAAAGTAGGCATCAGACAGTCAGAGCCCCTCCTGCAGACCCTGCCTGCCTGAGCAGAGGCCCGTGAGCTCTTTTTGCCATGACCCCTGTCAACCCCAGGGATGCCAGGGAGACCGACAGGCGGCAGGGGTAGGGACCCGTGGGGCCTGCTTTTCTCTTGTGGTGGTGAAGTGCAAAAAGTCAAGCAGTGAATGTGGAGTCAAGGCCTGGCATGGAGGTCCAGCGTTGCCTCTCACTGTAAGATGTTGAGCTAATGACTCACCCTCTCCAGGGTTTGTTCTTCTCATTCATAAAATGAAAGCAATGATTGCACCCACTTCTTAGGGAGATACTGCACTTCCCAGGGCAGTGAGAGGCCTGGCCCAGGAGCCTGGAGAGCAAGGCTCATGTTCACGGCTGTGGGGGGGAGCTACGTCACAACTGAGACGGGGAGGTTCCAGGGGAGACTGGTGGTCGGAACAGCCAGCATCCAGTAGCCTCAGCAGGTCCTTCCCCTCGCCGGCCTCTGTCTCCTGTCCTCTAATGGCTGCTCCTTGGTGTGTCCTCCAAGGCCTCTCAAGTCCTGGTGTTCCCAGACGGTCCCTTAGCTCTTTGAGGGCAGGAGGGCTAGAGTCAGGCACTCCTGAATCCTTGAGAGTCTGTAATTAGAGCTGTCTATTTAGGGACACAGCAAATGTCTTATTAATTATAAAGAAAGGAAGCAGATGGATTGTTTAATCATTGTCCTTGCTGAAAGGTTATGCAATTAACTGTATAAATATTCATTAAAAGTTCAAGCGGCTGTCTGCTGCAGTGGGGTCTGCAGGACCAAGCCCCCACAGGTAGTGTGGATGGTCAAGGACACTCTAGTCACCTGGGTTTTGGGGCAGAGTTTGGAGCTGGTTTGGAGCCACTTCTCCACCCACGGGAACCCGTCAGTGGGGCTTGATGGAGAGGGCGGGGCTCTGATCAGAGGAACCTGGACTCTGCCTCTCACTGCTGTGCATCTTGGGGCCACTACAGTACTTAGCCTCTCTGAGCCTCAGTCTCCTTGGCTGCAACATGGATGAGGGACCGCTCCCCTGCTTCACTCTGTGGACATCGCTGACACGACAGTCTTTATGAACAGTGCCCTTGGAGCTTTCGCTTACAGCCTTCAGGGCCTGTTCACCTGTCAGGGTGAGGGTGAGGTGGGAAACCATCGAGTGCTCGGGTGGAGCAGCCTGACACCCGGGAGGTGATCGGTGAATAGGACTCACTTCCAACTCCCCTGTGAGGCTGTTTCCTGACGCCTGGCTCAGGGATACCTGGTCCCTTGTCCCTCCACCCCAGTGCTCTCTCGGGGACTTGCAAAAATATGAGCATCGGTATCACTTCTCTAGGAGTGGATTTCAAAGAGACGAAGTATCCCATATCTTTGGGATTTGCAGAATGATAACCTGGGTGTTCTCAAAACAGGTGCATGGGAAACACTGGGGGGTGGGGAGCTGCTAGAATGGAGATTCCTGGGCTCCGCCCTCGAAATCTGCATTCAGTCTACTATGAGCTGAGGCCCAGGAGCCCGCATTTCTAACAGCACCACACTCTCACCCCTTGGTCAGGACATGGCAAATGCCGGTCAGCTTCGGCTCCCTTGTGTTCTGGTAGGCCCCGAAGGCGATGTGCTTCCTGAGGGCCTGCAGCGTGTTGGAGACAGAGGGCCTCTGGGATTGCCCCACTTCCAGATGCCCAGGTCCCTCAACACCCTGCGTTGCAGCCCCAAGGCCATCCCAGGCTTGACCCAACAGTTGTCTGTTAAGGGAAATTTCCATAAAATGAACCCTGTGAACTCAGTATTCCCTCCTGTCTTATGACTTGCTTTCCTAGGGAAAACTCTGGGGTCCATACCGGGGTCTAAGGAACTCCTCTCTCACGGCACAGTAGTGTTTGGAGACCTGGGCTCAGACACCTGTCCCCACCCGTCTGGTCTGTGCCCTTCTCCCCATCCCTTATGCCCTGTCCTCCCAGCTATGGAAGACAGTAAACTGCTCTGAGATCGGAGAGAAGAGCTGAGGGTCGGGCAGCAGTCACCCACCGCCTTTGGGTGCGGAGGACTCTGCCCAGGCTCTGGCATCAGACACAGCTGAGTCTGAGTCCTCACCCCATTCTTACCCGGCCGCTGTGTGACTTTCCGCCAGGCCTGCTGCACAGCAGCGCGCGGTAGGCACCGCTGAGAGAACAAAGCAGCCCTCATCTGGTACGCTGGGCACTAAGTATCACCCGTGCCCACTGGGCTGGGAGTTCTAAGTCCTCTCCAGACATTAACTTAGGCATCATAACAATTCTTTGAGGTAAACAGTAGTTTTGTCCCCACTTTACTGGCGTAGAGATAAGGATGGTTGGCTAAGCTAGATAGCCAGTGACTGACCAAACTAGGGTTTGAACCCAGGCAGCAAAGCTCCGGAGTCCATGCCCTCGGGCTCCATGCTAGAGACCATAAGATAATCCTCACCCTGGCGAGTCATCAGGAAGACTGAGACTGTGCCCGACACATCCCAGAGACCATTGTGTTCCTGCCTCCCGTACACCTGGAAAGTCAGGAGCCATCCACCAAGGTCCCAGATGCCTCTGCTGTGGTGGGGTCTGTCACATGGGCCATCCTGAGATGCTCTGGGCAAAAGCCATCCTCAGTCCTGATCAGGGTTCTCATTCTTTCTTCCAAATTGAGAATCAGCCCTGGGGCTTCAGGCCCCTGATTGAGTTAGTCTCTGATGCGGCTGCAGTAATTATAGCTGTGTGGTCCCGCGGGGCCCTGCCACTCCTCAGCTGCTGAGCAGTGGGCTCGCACCATCGCTGGGAGAGGGACTTGGGGAGGGGTGGGTCCTGCCAGGGGACCTTTTGAGGCCATGTTGAACCCTGCAGATCTACGGGTTCGGATCTTGGAATCACTCATCCGGAAGGCAAACCGAGGCCCACATGGGGCACGTCTCGCTCAAGGACACACAGCTGGGAAGTGACAGAGATGCATGCAAGGCATGGCAACTTCATGTTGCTGGAGCTTAAAGGGGAGGTTTAAAGGAGTGGGAGGTGGGGCTGGTGAGGCAAGCAGGAGTTGACCGAATCTAGGAGGCTTGAGTGCCAGGGACAAAGGGGGCAGGAAAGGGGATTAGACTGGGCAGCAGTGGAGTCGGTTAGAGGATCCAGAAAGTCTTAGGGGCAGACAGGCTTCTCAGATGAAAGAATTTGACACAGGGAACAGGAAGGCTTTGATGGATTCCCAGGGCCTCGGGCCAGGTGGCCGGAGCCAGGCAGTAGGACTGGTTGGCACCATGCCCTGTGTCCTCCTTGGCCAACCCATGCACACGTGTCTGTCTCCACAGCAAAACAGGTGTGTCCCGCAGAGAAGCTGAGCTGTGGACCCACCAGCCACAAGTGTGTGCCCGCCTCGTGGCGCTGCGACGGGGAGAAGGACTGCGAGAGTGGAGCGGACGAGGCCGGCTGTGCCACCTGTGAGTCGGGCTCAGACCCCCATGGTCTGCCCAGCATGGTCAGGCAGCCGGGGGTGGGGAGGGGCCTGGTCAGTGGAGAGGAGAGGGTGGTGATCGGGACACTAGGAGTGGCCAGGCACTTTGGAGACATTTTCTTCTTTCATCCTCACAACCACTTCACAGGCAGCCATTATCATTCCCATCTTGTGGGTGAGGAAACTGAGGCTCAGACAAGCGAGGGAAAGTATCAAAGCCTAAGTGAAGGCCCTGAGGTTCAAATTCAAGTCTGGACAGCAAAGCAAATGAGTTTTTACCATGCCTGACATTTGCTCATCCATTCCATATGTCTCCACTGATCTCTGAGCAAGGGCAAGGAGAACAGACAGGGCCATAGCAAGACACGGTGGCGGCCTGGGCCAAGGTACTGGCAGTGTCAGGGGCAGGTGGGGGGATGGGAGTGGGAAGAAGATGGCAGATTCCTGAGGTGTGAAGGACTGTTGCTGAAATCTCAGATTTGAGCGCAAATGGCACAGAATGGAGAAGACATTCCTGGCGGCCACGGCAGGGACAGATGGAGGTGGTTACTGGGACAGTTCCACATCGCTGAGCTTCAAGCACAGGATTATCTCTGTCCCAGAGAGCAGGCCAGCAGGTCCTAGGCCAGTGGGGAACGTGGCTGGGCCACACTCGTTTTAATTTGATGGGCACCTACTGTGTGCAAGGCCTGAGCCAGGCTCTGGAAAGGCCTACGCAGTCCTCCCCCTGGGAACTCATACTTAATGGGGGAGACAGACTGTTGATAACTAGGCTGTGAGGCTGGGCTGAGATATGCGGTCACCCCGGAGCTTTTGCCAGATCCTTGCCCATCACTGTCTTCCTCCTCACTCCTTCCACCAACTTCTGTATTTGTGTGTTACCCATCATCCTTCCTGGCCCAGGGAAAATGCCATCTCTTCTGGAGGCTTCTGAGTCACAGCACTCTTAAGATTCTAAGTCTGGAGTTTGGATGTGTCTGAAGCAGGAAGCAGCTGGGTGGCCCCTGGCTGGGGCCAGCCGTTTCCAAGCCCTGGGGATGCCATCGGCTCTTTTCTTCAGCTGGATAATTCTGTGGGGCCTCACTGCCAATGAGAAAGAATACTCTCCCCTCCTCCCCCCATAACCAGGTGTTTCCTTGGTCATGAAAGCCATGGGCCACTCTTACGGGGGGTGGGAATAGGTCCAGCCAGGGTATGTGGCAGCAGGAAAGTTCCCTGGTAACTACAGCAGACAGGGGTGTTAGAAGGTTTCAGTGGGCTTCTCTGCAACAGCTCCCAGCCACCTGAGCAAAGGACAAACAGTGCTCCCCTCCTCCACACTCAGAGTTAATGACATTTGTGAATGCTGTGAGCGGGGTCTCTGGGCACAGGCCCGAGAATATAGATCTTAAAGTTGCTGTCAGCTTAAGAACCTCACAGATAACTCAGCAGAAAGAAGCACTTCCTTTCGGAACTCCGAACACAGTCCTCCCTCTCTGGGCATGTATAGCTGAGTCTGGTCAAGGAGGAGGGGAGCTAATCTAGGCGTCAGCATAGTCTTGAGGGGCAGACATCACACAGGGTTGTGTGCTTTTCCCAACAATGCCTCAACATCCCAAAAGCCCAGAAGGGGGAAAATGCAGCTGTCATAAACTTGACAGACCTGTCAGTAACACATGGCATGAGCTGCCTACATTGTGAAACTGAAGACATCGTTCTTTTTTCTGTTTAATAACATGAAAAAAAAAAATGACATTTTTCTGTCAGAAAATAAAAACACAGACTCTTGGCGCCCCCACGTGGAGAAGTCTGGTGCTGTCACCTCCATGTTACCTTGGGCCACAGCCTTGCCCCCCACTCCCCATTAGCCCTCAGGGCTTATTCTTGACCTCTGTGTAAAGAATAAAGGGAGGAAGGAGGTAAGGAGGCAGCTGCTCTGGAAATAGCTTGTACCCCAGGAGAAAACCAGAAAGCCAAGAGGAGTCAAAATAGGAAGGAAGGGCCCCAAACCTGTCCGGACCCAGTCCAGCACTCATTCACAACCCACCCACCCACCACAGAGAGCTCTGTGCCGCGTTCTCGGGGCAACGTGGGGTTGATTGCAGAGCCAGTCCCCATGCAATGTAATTGGTGGTGACCAGGCTGATGTAGAAGGATAGGAGACCTAAATACCTGAGCATGATGGGAAAGGCACCCGACAGGAGAGTAGAGGTGGAGGGAGGCTTCCCAAGCAGGGGAGCCTGAAGTGTGTTAGGAAAGAAGACTTTGGGCCCTTGACAGACGAGAACTCATCAGTGTACAGTATAGAGACAGCTGTTGGCTAGAGGTGCAGCCCCAGCACATGGAACAGCTTGAACCAAGGCCCAGAGGTGGGAACGTGTGCAAATGGTCTAGTGTGACTGAAACCAGGGTGTGCGCAGGAGTGAAGTAGGTAAAGGGACAGAGCGGTGGCTCCCTTGCCAGCAGCCGTGGATGCCAGCCCAGGGGACTAACTTAGATGGTAGGTGCAGGTGCCGGGAAATGGGAGGGTGGGGAGAAGCCTGAGCTGTGCTGTCCGGGAACAGCCCCAGGCCTCCTTCCCGGAAGAGTCAGTGTCCTGTTACATTCCATTTCCTAGGAACATCAGAGTCCTTTGAGACAGGCGGCGATTTGTCGCTTTAGAGACTCCTAGTGCCACCCTTCCCCTGGCAGCAGGACAGGAATTCCCACTCCCAGTGAGGCTGGGGAGGCTCAGGGAGGGCCAGTGTGTTGCCCAAGGGCACCCCCTATGGCCCTGGCAGGACCTGGATTGGATGCCCCGTTTGCTGTTCCCCAGGGCATGTCCACCATTCAGCCCCCCAGCAGGGCTTATTCTGACCCAAAGGTGAGGGTCCGGGCCCATGTAGCGGACCTGCGGGCCGGGTCGCTGGGGACGGGGTCTGGCGGGCCGACCGGCTCTCTGTCCTGCGCAGTGTGCGCCCCGCACGAGTTCCAGTGCAGCAACCGCTCGTGCCTGGCCGCCGTGTTCGTGTGCGACGGGGATGACGACTGTGGTGACGGCAGCGACGAGCGTGGCTGCGCCGGGCCGGCCTGCGGGCCCCGCGAGTTCCGCTGCGGCGGCGAGGGCGGCGCCTGCATCCCCGAGCGCTGGGTCTGCGACCGCCAGTTCGACTGCGAGGACCGCTCGGACGAGGCGGCCGAGCTCTGCGGCCGCACCGGCCCCGGGGCCACGTCCGCACCGGCCGCCTGCGCCGCCGCCCAGTTCCCCTGCCGCAGCGGCGAGTGCGTGCACCTGGGCTGGCGCTGCGACGGCGACCGCGACTGCAAGGACAAGTCAGACGAGGCCGACTGCCGTAAGCCCCGCCCCTCCGTAGCGCCCGCCCTTTGGCGGAGGCGCCGGGCGTCTGCCAGGCCTGCCTGCCTGCCTGCCTTTCCATTCTCGCCCGCGTAACCTTGTGTCACTGTGGCGGAGACTAAGCTAGGTGAAAGTGAAGTGGCTACTAAGCTGCGAAGCTCAGGTCTAAGGTCTTCGTCGGTACCTATGTCCCTGGATGATGCCCTCACTGTCATACCTCCCACCCCTGCCCTTTTCGGCCCCAGGCAGTCACCCTCTAGCTCCATCTCAGGGAGACCTTGGAACACCCAGGAATGTTCCCCACCCTCCTACCTGCAGGGCCTGCTCATCCTTCAAGGACTCTCCCAGAATCCTCCGCCCTTCCCAGCCGGGCTGGGTCTGTCCCCCTGGGCTCCTGCAGGTCCCCAAGCTCCCTCTCTTACAGTGTATCCCGCCCTGTTATGCCGTCCTGTGTATTCCTCAACCCGACTCTGCACCCTTGATCTCCTAGAGCACTGGTCCCCAACCTTTTTGGCACCAAGGACTGGTTTCACGGAAGACAATTTTTCCTAGGAGGTTGTCGGGGTTGGGGGTGAACAAGAGAGGGAGTTCAGGCGATAGTGCTGCCCTGCAGCCCCGGTTCTCACCAGGCCAGGGACCAGACTGGTAAAGGTGGGGGGGAGGTGTCCGTGTCCTAGAGGATGGGGAAGCTCTTAGCAGTCTCTGGGTTCCCAAGCCTGGCAAGCATGGCACACAGTGGGTGCTCAGGAAGGGTTTGCCAAAGGGATGAAGTCATTCAAGGATGAGCACCAAGACTAAAAAGAAGGCCACAGGAGGGGTAGCCCTGAGGAGAGGCGGTAGACAGAGAAACAGGAGACCTGAAGTTTAGTCCCGGCTCTGCCAGCCAGAGTGCTGTGTGGCCCTGGGTGAGGCCTCCCCCTCTCTGAGCTTCAGTCTCCCTATCTGTATGCTGGACGTGCCTCGGTCAGGTGACCTTTGAGAACTCCCAAGCTCAGCCACTGCTTTCCAGAGGCAGATATGGGGTGGGGGCAGGAGAGCTCTTCCAGTGCCATGCTGGATCTGACCCTCTCTACTTGGCCCCTCCTTGCAGCACTGGGGACCTGCCGTGGGGACGAATTCCAGTGTGGGGATGGGATCTGCATCCCTTCAGTCAAGCGCTGCAACCAGGAACAGGACTGTCCAGACGGGAGCGACGAAGCTGGCTGCCTAAAGGGTGCGTGTGGTCAGAGGCAGAGGGGCGGCATCCTCCACAAGAAGCCCGACCTCTCCCCATACTCGGGCAGAGAGAGCAGAGTTGGAAGCTGCCTGCCCCCAGTCCCTGAGGGGCATCATTCCCCAGAACATCGCTTGCCACAGACCACCCAGATCCCCTCCCTGGGGCCCTAGTGGCACCAGAACCGGATTTTTCAGGACTTTGCAGAAACTGAAGGAAGCCTGTGGGCACATGAAAGGGCACTGCAGGAAGTCCAGCCCCCAGCATTTGTCCATATCCAAGTCTCCAAGTTCCCAGACTGGACAGAGCTGAGTCATCCTTCCCAGGGAGCCTCCTTAATTCATAGATGGCTCTTCCGGTCATTACTCACCCCTGCAGGAGCAAGGACCCTGACCCACTGGTCTTCTGGGAAAATGGGCAGTGAGGCAGCCTCCCATCTCCAGGGCCCCTGGCACATAGGTCTCCCTCAGGAGGTGGTTAGCCCAGCCCCCAGGGTCTCTGTTGAGCTGCGGCTTTTCCCTCCCAGGGCCCTCGTACTACCATGTCAGAACCAGATCCCCAGTCCTGCCCAGCGGGCTGATGCTCGGGCATCTTGGTCAACCCTGGGGTCCTTCTGGGAGTAGAGTTGCTTCCAGCCCTGCAGACGCTGTCCGTCCTGGGCCATCCTCTGGAGACACTGAGGCTGGAGCTCCGCTCGCCTCCCATGGACCCGCCCAGCCCTCCCTGCTGAAGGTCTCACAGGCGCTGTCCACTCTCTTGTCTGGCCCGACAGAACCGACATGTGAGGGTCCCCGCAGATTTCAGTGTAAGAGTGGAGAGTGCGTGGACGGCGGGAAAGTGTGTGATTCTCGGAGGGACTGCCGGGACTGGTCGGATGAGCCTCTGAAAGAGTGTGGTACAGTACCTGTCTGCATCCACCCACCCGCTGAACTAACCCTTCCTCCCGGCGGCAGAGCCCCACCCTCGCCTGCCCCTCAGCACACCCTCTGCCCTGACCCTCTCTCCGGACTCTCAAGCTGTCCTGGGGCCTCTGACGGAGCTCTTTGCCTTTGGGCCTCTCATTCCGAATATCTGCAAACACAAGGCCTTTCCTTTCCAGCCCAGATGCTCAAAAATCGTGCTTCCTATCACAAACCCAGCCTCCACTCCTTTCACATCAGATCTCTGAGTGTGTGCTCACTCCGGAACCTTCTCTCTTACTCAGTATTTCTGCCCTGCTGACCTAGCCAGGGCCCTGGCCTCTGAGGCCTTCCACCCCCCTGCAGGAGGGAGAGGTAGGAATAGCAGGCAGGTGGCCCACTGAGGTACATGCCAAGGCCACCTGGCTCAGGTGAGGGGAGGACAGGACCAGCAGTGGCGGGTAGCATCATCCTGAGCCCTGAGGAGCTTGGACTTCCTGGGAGGCAGCCATCTCAGCTGCTGGAGCTGGCAGGGCAGGTTCCTGGCTGAGAAAAACAGGAGAGTCGGCCGTAGGTGGGGTGGGCCTCCCAGAGAACAATGCAGAAAATGGAGTGCGGGCTCCAGGAACGTTACTGTCTGAGGTTGAGGGTTTGGACAGGAAATTCCCAGGAGGACAGAGCCTCGGCCAAGCCCGCCCACCCTCCCTTCCTGGTAGACGTGTTTTCACCCAGCACCTCCCCTCCAGGGCAGTCGGGGAGCTTCATGCTCTGGAACGCCATAGGAACAGCATGTTTCTGCTCCTGTATAGGGTTTTAAAATTGATTTTGAAAGGAGGAGTAGCTGGGTAAAGGTTGCTCAGCCTGCACTTGAGTTTGCAGGTGGCAGATTCACACCCCAGAGAAGTCCTAGAAGAAGGAGCCTGTGGAAAAGAGAATGGGGAAGCAGAAGCAACTGAGCCCAGCCCCACCCGCCCTGCTCAGACCTGGAATCAGCCAGGGACTACTAACCCACTCAACTCTCTTCTCTCTCGTCTTTCGCACGACTCCCCAAAGAGAAGTGTGTGCGCATGTGTCTGTGTCTGTGCTGGCAAGAGGCCAGCGTCTGCATCCAGGGCTCCTTCTCTGAGTCAGGCAAGGGAATCGCGTCACATGTCTCCGTGTGTGCTCCCACGTCCGTGTGAATGTCTGTGGAGCCCACGGGCCTTTCCGTGCCTCTGCACGTAAGCTGGTGTGTGTGTGCATGCAGACGTGTGCATGTGCTGGGAAAGTGACGCTGCCCCTTCCTTCCCTGGGGGACGTCGTGCTGGGCAGGCCTCTCTGGGCCACCTGCCCCTCTCCTTCCCTGCAGATCCCCCAGAAGAGTCACCTCCAGGCTAGATAGAACTGGGAAGACCCGAGATTCCCTTTTAGCCCCTGCCTCCCCTTTAGGGGAGGGTTGATGGGGAGACAGGTCCAGACCTACCACTCATTCTCTCCCTGACCACCTTGGCCCTGGAGGACTCTGTGCTTTCCCTTGTCCCCGTCCCGAGCCGTCCTACACCTGTTGTTGCATCAGTGCTCAGTAAATACGAGTGCTGAGTCGATGCTAGCTGCAACAGCAGAGGGAGGAAGTGAGTGGGTGCATGAATAAGGCAGGGAGTAAGGGGTGAACAGATGAATGGACAGCACTGAGGGAATAGTACGGATGGGGGAAGTCAGGGCTTGGAGTGACACAAAGACCTCTGGAGGTGATGCCCCACAGAGATCATCCCGAAGGTACCATGGCTCGGCCAGTGCCAAGGGGCTGGGCCTTCCGGGGCTGGGCCTGGTTGAGTCATCTCCAGGCCCCGCCAAATTATGAGATTGCTTTGGTCTTCTTCTTTCAGTTATGCCAACATCCCGGGGAAACAGGAGGAGGCCCAGGGGTAAAGGGGAACATTCCCTAAGCATGGCTCAGGCTGGAGATGGGGCACCGGCCGCTGTGCATGGCCTGGGGTAGGCAGCTCAGACTGGCTGTTTGCATGGCCGTGGCTGGCTCGGCTCAGCTCGCTCGGCTCAGCTCGCTCGGCTTGGCTGCAGTGGCGATGCATGAGCCCGGAGGGCAGAGGGGTGGTGCAGCTCTCTCCCTTGGCTTGCAGAATTAACCTTCTGTGATTCTAAAGCTCAGAAGATGCTGTGAAAACTTGGTGAGCCTTGGTCCTGGCCTCTCTGGCCTCCCCTGGGACCCTGCCAGAAGGTGATGAGGGAGTGGATGACGAGGGAACCAGATGACATCCTAGAATCCCTTCATCCTTTACCAGCAGTTGGTGATCTGGGGACTAGGCCTGTGACTAAGTGTAGGGACAGACAGGTGCTGAGGAAAAGTGAAAAAAATCCATCGTAGTTAATGGGAGGTGAGAATTGACTTAGCGACAGCTCAGTGCAGAGACAGGCTGGTAGGTAGTCTTAGGTAACCACAAGGTCAATTCGGGGATACTATTTGGACTCCCATGTGGTGGCCAGGCCGAGGCCTCTGTCCAGAGTGGGACATGGGCAAATGGAGCCTGTCCAGAAACAGGTACTAATTGGCAGGGGGTCAGAAGTCAGTGCTTCAGGAGGAGCCAGTTGACCCTGGTCGACCCCACGCAGTGGATCTGAGGGCAGGAACAGAAACTGCAGGGAGGCTGACCCTGTGGGGAGGAGCTTTGCTCCAGGTGGAGCCAGCCACCTGGGGAGGGAAGCAGGCTTCCGAGGCCAGAGATGTGGACGCAGGGCATTTAGAAGGGGATCGCCAGGACGGCTTGCAGGTTAGACATGGTACAAACAGGTTCCTCCAGCTCTGAGGTCATGAGGAAGGAGGAGCTGGGAGAAACTTGTTTGTGAAAGGAAAAACCTTAAGCAGCCAAGCTGCCTCCAGCCTGGCAGTGGACAGAGCCCTGGCTTAGAAGGCAAAGGACCTGAGTTCTGGTTCCACTTAGTCCTTGTCTGTGTGTCTGTCCTTGAGCAAGGACCTGCCCCTCTTTGACCCACCTCTTGCGCAGTCACCTGGTTAACGAGGCTGAGGCTCATCAAGGCCACAGAGCAACCCAGCTCTATGGGAGTCCCGCCGCCCTGAGTCTCTGCTTCAGCTCTGGCCCCCGCCCCAGGCTGGGCTCTGGGACCCTCAGGAGCCCGTGTCCCTTCTAGGGCTGAACGAGTGTCTGCACAACAATGGTGGCTGCTCCCACATCTGCACTGACCTCAAGATCGGCTTTGAGTGCTCCTGCCCCTCGGGCTACCGGCTCCTGGACCAGAAGACCTGTGGCGGTGAGACCGACCCCACTTGCCCCTGGGCAGAAGTAGACCCTCCTTCCAGTTCTGACCTCTGCTCCTCCCCACAGATGTTGACGAGTGTGAGGATCCTGATGCCTGCAGCCAAATCTGTGTCAATTACAAGGGCTACTTTAAGTGCGAGTGCCACCCTGGCTATGAGATGGACACACTGACCAAGAACTGCAAGGCCGTCGGTATGGACACCCCATGGTGGGGGGGAAGGGGAAGCTCAGGGGGCACAGAAAGCAGTGTGCTCCCGTGTACGTGAGGAGTGGCTGTGCACACGCAGTGCTCAGTGTGGACATCACACCGCACACACACTGCGCTGCGCAGTGCCACCCCCGTGGACCCTGCGTGGAGCACCAGCCCCGCCCACGGAAACCGCACTGGCACAGCACACAACATGTAGACAGACTGGACCGCGCAGACCACACACAGCCCAGGCGGCCCACACAAAGAGCACGGCGTGTGCAGACCTGACGTGGGCCCGTTCAGCCAACTGAATTCACTTTGCTCCGTCCTTTACCCGGGACGCCTGCCGTGGCTGTAGGCACGGATGCAGCAGCAGGCACAACAGACACAAATTCCTGTCTGCCCTCATGGGACTTATATCCCAGTGGGTGAGACAGACCAGAATGCAGATAAATAAATAAAACACAGTGGATGGCAGATGGCAATACGGGTTAGGGAGAAATGCAAAGCCGGGAAGGAAAGGGGGAAGTCCGGGGGGGCAGCAGGTTACAATTTTAGACAGAGTGGTCAGGGAAGCCCTTACCTTTATGGGACAGTGACATCTGAGGTGACGCAGTGAGCCCTGCGTTTATCTGTGGGATCAGCATCAGGCTAAGGAACAGAAGTTAAGGCCCTAAGGGAGGGGCATGGCTGGTTTCATATCACGTGTTGTGAGGAGCCAGGAGAACAGAAGATAAGTAGGAGAGGTGACTCAGGGCAGGTGGCACAGGTCTTCCAGACCATTGTGAGGGCTGACCCTCGACCCCACTCTGAATCGGGGGGAGCCTTGGAGGGGCTGAGTAGAGGAGGGACGTGGGCTGTCCTGTATTTTAACTGGCTGCTGCGCTGCTGTGTCGAGAGCAGACCGTAGGGAGCAAGGGAGGAAGCAGGGAAGCCATTTAAGAGGTTTTGGCGGTGACCCAGACGAGAGGTGCTGGTGGCTTGGGGACACGAGAAGTGGAAGGACTGGATGAATTTTGAAAGTCGGGACTTATTTTGGAGCAACAGGGTTGATTTATGAGTTAAATGTGTGTTGTGAGAGAAAAGAGAGTCAAAGATGGTTCCAGGGATTTTTGCCAAGCAGCTGGAAAAACAGGATTGCTCTTTCTGGAGCTGAGAGAGATGGTGAGAAAAGCAGTTTTGGGGACTATTAGGTTGATCTGGACATGTTACGTTTAAGAAAACTAGACATCCGGTAGGCAGGTGGGTCCACGAGCTTGGGGTTGAGATGCACAAACACAATGCACAGTGTATGTAGATTATAACACTCTAGCAGCCACAATAACTGACATGTAGCCTATAAACCCCAAAACACCACCCGAACTGTACAATATACAATACACACATAAGCACATCACGTGTAACACAGTCTGTTCTTACGCCCACATGGGACACCGGCAACATGCATCGTGGACTATATACGTGTAGTGGAAACAGCACACAACTGCCCCTGTAGACACGAAACCCCCACAGGTGAACATCTGAAGTGCCACTAGGTGCTTGCCCGTCCTGTCTTTCAGGTGTGCGTCTCCTAAACCCTAAGGGACCCCAGAGGCTTGCAACCAGGGAGCACTGGGCGGCAGCAGCTCCTCCGGGCTGACCCCCTGACCCTGTCTCCAAGGCCCCGTTTTCTCTGACTTCCCAGTGAGCCGACAGCAGCCCTGCCTGGGCTCTCCTGTTGTCCCTTGTATCCTAGGCCCCCCTTATTTCACTGTCCCCGGCTTTAACAAATATACTCTCCGAATTAAAAAATGGAGTTAAACAAAAACTGGAATCATAAACACACGGGCTTCCTGCCACAGCCACAGTCTCAGTTAAACAACCTGAAGATGTCCTGTGGCCCAGCTCCTGCCTCAGGAAGGTAAGGTGTCATCGCCCTCATTTTGGGAAGAAGAAAACCACACTGCTAGTCAAGTGGCACAGCTGGGCCTTGAAGCCAGCTTCCCCCTTTCTCCTTCCGGCACTCGGACCCCCATTTTTCTGTGCTCTCCGTTTGTACCACACCTTTCCTCCCACCCCGACCCTGCCTTTGAAATAGTCTCCATCATTACACATAGGTCACACACTTGGCCCCACGTGGCTCAGTGCTGGTCCCACCCAGCCCCTGGGGAACATGTTAGCCTGGCATAGATGCACAGTGACGGGAACCAGGGGGCCTGCAGACATGCCAGCTGGAAGACAAGGAGGGGGGCACGGACAGCTCCAGGTACGGGCCTTGCCCCCTGGACAGTGCAGGTACCCGAGACTGGCCTGCCGCAGCTGAACACAGGCTGGGGCTCACAGCCTGTGCTGAGCTCTGAGCCTGGACAGGCCTGTGGCTCAGTTTCCTCCCACAGGCAGTATGGCCAGGAGTGTCTAGGTCACTGACGGTCCTCCTAAAATCTAATCTTGAGTCTCTGCATGGGTTTTGTGGTACATGGGCAGTTGTGTGTTGTCCCCCTTGCACATACATATCTGTGTCATGCATGACACCCATACATATCTGTGTCATGCATGACACCCATCCTACCCCTGCTGTTGCCACAGAATCAAGTGCAAACTCTTCACCCAGCTCACAGGGCCTGTGCGGTCAGGCCCCTGCCAACCTCTGCCACGTCCCCAGATACATGCTGCATAGACTAAAGACTCACTTCCCTTGAGCCTCAGCCGCACTGCGATGTCTCCTCCATCCTGGAGCCTCACTCTTCTCTCTGGAACACCTCACGCTCATTTTGCCCCTTCTTGAACTATTGCCGTGGAGCCCAAAGCAGGGGAGGTGGTAGCCGCTCCAGAGAAATGCCTTCTAGATAGGGGACAATTTGAGCAAAGGCCCCAAGGCAGCAGAGTTCTGCCTTGGCCAGATACCCTGGAAGCAGGAATCTTTAGAGGGACGAATGGGCAGCCTGGGGTCACACTGCCTTTGGTGCAAACCTAAGGAGGAACTGGGGAGTCATAAAAGATCATGGGGGTAGTTCGTGTAATAAAAAGAGTAAAAATCCTTCCGTTATGCGTGGTGCTTTGGCATCATGCTTTTTGTACCCTTTATTCCACCTGCTCCTCTCACCTGTGAGGTAGGGATTGTCACTTCTGTTCTGCTGGAAAATGAGGCGTCACCTGGCAAACCAGTGACAGGGCCATGGTCTACACTCCCCCTGCCTCTGCACTGATCCCCTCTCTCTCTCAACCTCCCCGCGTGGCAGCTGGCAGAAGCCCGTCCCTAATCTTCACCAACCGGCACGAAGTGCGGAGGATAGACCTGGTGAAGCGGGACTACTCGCGCCTCATCCCCATGCTCAAGAACGTCGTGGCTCTAGACGTCGAAGTTGCCACCAATCGCATCTACTGGTGTGACCTCTCTTACCGCAAGATCTACAGGTGAGCTGCGGCAGGTGCCTGTCACGCAGGCCTTGGAGGGTGGGGGAAGGGTGGAAGAGGAAGAGTGGCCTTTCTGCCCCTTCTGCCCCTAAAATTCCCTAGAACAGAGTCAGGGCTTAGGAAGGGACACAGAGTCACAGTGGCTGTGGAACTGCCGGGACTTGAGCTGTGGGGCTGGTCAAGGCCACGGGCTCTGCTGGGAAAGCAGCTTTGAGCTCCACACAGCTGACCTCTGGCGGCCTAGTGGGGGCTCGCAAGACACAGGAGACGTGCGGTCAGGGCAGGAAGAAAGAAATCCCCGGCTTTGGAGAGGACTTCCAAACCAGCTCACATACCTGTGAGTTGGATCCTGAGGAGTCAGAGTTGACTCTGACTGCCCAGAGGATTCCACTCATAATACAGTGACGTCCACGTGAGGATAATGGGCGGGGGTACAGAGGAGGCCTCTGACCCGATCTGAGGGGTCAGGGAAGTCTTCTTGGATGAAACACGCCCCCGTCCAGCCCTTCACTGGGTCTGCGACACCACAGTTGGGGGACTGTGGCTCTCGGGAAGTCTCCCCATGCACAGAGCGCTCTCTAGGTTTCTCTCAGTACCGCCAGCCCGCCCCCTTGGGCAGCCATGGCCTTTCTTTGTCCCGAGATCCACCCCCTGAGCAGACCTGCCAGTGACCAGGCCCTGGGGAGACTGTTGGAAGAATGACAGAACGGGTGGACAGGCAGACGGGTGGGTGGATGGGTAGGGAAAAACAAATATACCAAGTGCCACTCCCTGACAACTCACCGTCTCACCCCCACCCCCGACACATGCTCAGCTCACAGGGACACACACGGGGACAGCTCGAGCAGTACCTGCCCCGCAGTCATCACTGAAAGAGGCAGAGTTGTATGACAGATGGGGTGTAGGAAGTCCAGATGAAGTCCCACGTTCTTGGGGGTTTTAGGTTCTGACTTGGGAGGGAGGTTTTGTGGGCCACACTGCTGTTCTCGGAGGTGGGAGCTGTGGAGAAGAAACAAGTGGCGGGTTGGGCAGCCCAGCTGCTGGCCAAAGGGGGTGGGGTGGGGGAGGGAAGGAGTTTTGGATGTGTCGAGTTTAAGGTGTCCCGAGAGGGGCCGGTTGGCTTTATAGTCTGGAGCTTAAGAGAGCTGTCAGCATGGGGGAGTCAGAGTATGGAGGCAGCGGCCACTGCGGAAGTAACCGCCCAGAGAGAAGTCATGCGGGAGAAGGAAACCTTGGAAAAACAGCGTTTGGGAGACAGAAAGTCTGTCAGTGCTGCCTCCTGAGTGTCTACTGTACTTTCAGCCCCTTCTCTGCACTCCCCGGCACAACCTCCCTGCAGACCCTCTTTATCTCTCACCTGGGTGCGGTAAACAGCCTCCCGACCAGTCTCCCCACCTTCGTTCCCTTCCGATCCGTCTCCCAGTCCACAGGTGCCGCAGCGACCTAATGTGCCCCTCTGACCGCGTCCTCTTCCTGTTCAGTTACCTGCTCCAGGGTGAACCCCAGCTCCTCAGCAGGGCCCGCAGAGTCCGGGCGATGGGCCCCTTCCCACTCACTTCCAGCCTCACAGCCCACTGACCCGCAACATACCTCGCCTCGTTCAGCGTTCCACTCCTCTGGTGTTTGCACACGCTGTCCCTCTGCTTTCTCTTCTTTGTGTTCCCAGTGAACGAGTCCTCCTGCAACCCTGCAGGATGATGTCATCCCCATGTCCCTGCTGCTAGAGCCCCCAATACTTTCCATATTTGCATTATACTGCAATCATCTGGCTATAAATTTCTATCCCCCATTAAACTGAGCTCCGCTGGGCGAGAGGCTGCGGCCGATTCAAGCCTCTACGCCTACCCCAGTGGCCTGCGGATGTGTTGAACAGAAATGAGCCGAGCTCCTCTAAAGCCCATTGCCGTGGCCCAGAGTGGGGAGACAGAAGGGTGCACAGGAGGCTCCACAGGGCCCTGTGGGCGGGACCCTTGCTCCATGGCCAACTCTGGTTGCTCCTAGCGCCTACATGGACAAGGCCAGCGACCCGACGGAGCAGGAGGTCCTCATCGATGATCAGCTGCACTCCCCAGAGGGCCTGGCTGTGGACTGGGTCCACAAGCACATCTACTGGACAGACTCGGGCAACAAGACCATCTCCGTGGCCACTGTGGATGGTGGCCGCCGCTGCACTCTTTTCAGCCACGACCTCAGTGAACCCCGGGCCATCGCTGTTGACCCCCTGCGAGGGTGAGTGTCCTTACCCAGAACTTCCCATCCCCTGCCTGTAGGCACTCAGTCCTCATGGGTCCATCATAAAAGCTATCTTAGGGCTTTGGAAGGCCCCAGGCCCCTCAGCCCATTAACCCCCAGCCAAGGGTCCTTGGGGCTTTCGTCGCCAGGGGTCTCCTGGGCTCTGCCACTCACTCATCCTGCCAGAGAATGAGAGCATCTCAGAGCACAGCCTGGCTCTGAGGCTGCCTGGCAGAGTGCCTGGGGCGGGAAGCCGTGCAAAGGCCGCCGCGCGTGGGCATCTGGTGGCTGCTCGCGCCCTTCCAAACACAGGAGCCCTTCCCTCTCCTGTGGCCCGTTTCATTTAGGACAGTTCTGCCCATTGGAAAGTACGTTTTTTATGGTTTGTTTCTTTTCTCATATTCTCAAACCTGCCTCTCTTTGACTTCCTCCATAGTCCTGATGTAAGTACATGAGGTGAAACCGTGCAGCCCAGTGCCTGGCACATAGTAAGCGCTCAATGGATGTTCAACAAAAAAGGGGAGAGGAGCCCTAGACAGTGCTAGCTGTGTGACCCTGGTACCCGGGTCACTTCCTCCTCTGTAGACTGGAAAAGCGAGAGAGGGGTGGCAAGGGCCTTTCCCACCCTGGCCTGGTGGGGCTCTGGCCAGAGCTGCCAGGAGTGGGAGATGGGCTCCCAGGTTAGCCAGCAGAGGCCAGGTGGACACGGGGAGTGTAGGCTGCCCAAGACTCAGATGGGGCGAAGGGTAAGGCCCTGCTAACTCTAGGTTTGATGGCTCCACTGGGCTCCAGAGGACTTCCCAGCCCGTACTAAGCATAATCTTCAACATTCAGTGGCTCGGTGAGCCCCCGTGATCCAGACCCCCAGTCATGTCCTCGACAAGAAGCCCTGTTGGGTCCCTCTCTCTTTTAGGTTCATGTACTGGTCTGACTGGGGGTACCAGGCCAAGATCGAGAAGTCTGGGCTCAATGGTGCGGACCGGCAGACACTGGTGTCAGATGGTATCGAGTGGCCCAATGGAATCACCCTGGGTGAGCCCTGCCTTCCTGAGACTGGGGGCTGTTCCAGCACCTGGTCCTGACCACTGTCCTGAGCCCCCAGGTCTTATTTCTGCATTTCCCTCGTAGTACCTGAGTTTCCTGGTGGCCGCCCCTGAATAGCCTCCATCTGAGGCCTGGCCGGGAGGTGCAGGCAGGGGGAGGTACAGAAGAGCAGAGATCCGGGCTGTGGTCCCAGCCTGGCTCCCCTGTCCCCCTTTTCCTCCCCAAGACTTGCTGAACCAGCGCTTGTACTGGGTAGACTCCAAACTGCACCAGCTGTCCAGCATTGACTTCAGTGGAAGCAACAGAAAGATGCTGATTTCCTCCCCTGACTTCCTGAGCCACCCTTTTGGGGTAGCTGTGTTTGAGGTGAGCCCTGCGAGGGCGGGCATGGCCCCATCAGGAAGGCGAAGCCCAGAAAAGGTTTATTCAGATAGCATAACCCCCCGAGAGCTTTCCGAATGGAAACAGGGACAGGGAGGCCCAGGGACGGGTTGGTGCGCACCGTGCGAGCTGCCTCCGTGCAGAGAGGCCCTGCAGCCGTTGTTCGCCTGGCGGCCTTTCCTGTGCCCCCTTCCCAAGACCGCTCTCCCAGAGCGCCGCTCAGAGGTAAGCTGCCAGACCATGTGTTTTCTCTTAGAACTCCCAGCACCCCGCGCATAGACAGCAGGCGCGCAGTAAAGGGAGGGAGGATGAAAGAATCTCTATTTCCTTAGAATCATTTATTGTTGGAAATGGCCTGAGAGATGCTGTTCAACTCAGCACATTTTCACTGATATTTCCTGGACCCTGGGGTCATAGAAGGGAATCAGACATTAGTCCTCAAGAAGATCCCAGGAGGGTGAGAATTAAGACTCTCCCGTGTTCCGACCCTAACAAACTTTCTCCTTGGAGAATAAGGAAGTGAGAACCAACCAAGGTCTCAGACATCTACCTCTTCCCCCAAATTAATGGCCACCAAAGGGAGGGAAGGCAAAGGGACAGTGATCTGTGGCGGGCACTGGCAATATTTGCTAGGATGGGTATCACACAGCAATGCTCTGAAGGTATGGGCAAAGCCCCACCTGCAAGTCCAGCCCCTGCTTCAAATGACAGGTGTATTCAGACATGTGTATATGTGTGGCATGTATGTGTAAAGTTTATGTGTGTGTGTGTACATGAATGCATTTAAGAGTCCATTCCTGTACATGCTGGTGCTTGTGCATGTAAATCCGTGTTCCAATACTGGGACAAGTGCTTATTTAGGTACAGGTGTGCCTTTGTATGTGAGCATGTGCCAGTGTGTCCAGATCGTGCATGAGGCCGCGTGGCTGTACCTGTCAGTGTGAATATGTCCCCAGTTGCACACCCAGGCTTGTATGGACTCTTCACTGGATGCAGGAGGCCCAGCAGGGAGTAGTCCTCAGTAGCTCACAAATCCCTGCCAGTCTTGGTCCAGGGCACTAGTAATGGTAGCAAGTGTTAGAGACCCAAAGTTAGGTTTGCGCTGGGCTCCAGGAAGCAGGCCTAGCCAAGCATTAATGAGCAGCTTCCAGGCCAAAGCACAAAATCACCAAATGGCTCTCAGAGAGAGAAGGGCACCTGAGCACGTGGCACAGATCAGAGGCCAAGAGCCCCACTGTGAGTCTGTGTGTGGGAGGGGACGGGGGAGATGGCCGGGCTGATCTTGTGGCTGTGATTTGGGCCCGAGCCCTCAGACTGAGGCCGTGGACGTAGGCTCCAGGCCACCCACCCTCTGCACCTGTACCCGCAGGACAAGGTGTTCTGGACAGACTTGGAGAACGAGGCCATTTTCAGTGCAAATCGGCTCAATGGCCTGGAAATCTCCATCCTAGCTGAGAACCTCAATAACCCTCACGACATTGTCGTCTTCCATGAGCTGAAGCAGCCGAGAGGTGAGCCTTCCTGGCCTCGGTCCCCTGCCCACATCCTCTCCCTCCGGGAGGCAGGCTGGTTCATGTTCATGTGACACAGTGTCTCCGAGGCCCAAGGACCAATGGCAACAGTCCCCCTCGTCGGCAGCATGTTCTGCTGTCACATATTTTATCACATTTTGCCTCAAGCAAGCTCTTGGTGAAATAGTCCTGGGTATAAAAATATATAAATGCCCTATTTTTGCCAGTCCCATGAAGTGTGGGTCGGTATCATCGTTCTCATTTGACTGTTGAGGAGACCGTGGCTCAGAGAGGCAAACTCGTGTTAGCAGGTAGCAGAACGAAGCTCTGAATTGGTTTCCGGAGCCGCTGCTGCCGTGAGGAGCACGTTGCTTCTCATCTGGTATTTGTGTCCATTTGACAGTAGTGTAAACTAATGCATTCTGTGACCAGAGAGTGATTCAGCTTGTCAGTTGGGAATAGAAGTCAGGAACCCTCCTGTCGGTTGTCCCCTCCTCTGGCACTAGGGTACACTAAGTCTGACTGTCACTGAGGGGTCATTGCCAGGGTGAAGGTGAGAAAGCACAGCAGGGAGAGGAGATGGGGCTGCTGCCTTATTCTAAATCCAGAAATGTAAATAAGAAAGAGAAGTGGTGGGTGGCATGGGGAAAAAAATGGACTTTGCAGTCTCAGGCACCTCAATTTAAATTCTGTCTCCAAAATTATTAGTGGTACAGTTTTGACAAATTTAGTCTCCTCGTGAGCCTAGGTGTCCTTTATCTGTCAGTCTGGGGCATACTGCCTACCTCCAGGAGGCGATATCAGGATCAAATGGAAGTAGGAATGAAACACCAGGCACAGTGCTGGAAGCTGCCTGGTAACAGCAGTAGAGAAAGCTTTTTGAGCAAGCCAAGTGGGCGGGGCATCATCCTCTGGAGGAGAGAAGAGCTGGCAGGTCCCATCTAGGCCCCTTCTTTCTCTCTGCCCCGCTCCCTCCCATTAGCTGCCGACCCCTGCGAGCTGACCACCCAGCCCAATGGAGGCTGCGAGTACCTGTGCCTTCCTGCTCCTCAGACCTCCGGCCACTCTCCCAAGTACACGTGTGCCTGTCCTGACACAATGTGGCTGGGCCCGGACATGAAGAGGTGCTACCGAGGTGAGTGGCCCCGCCAGGAGGAGAGGCCCCCGGCCATGCCGGACCCCACCCTGCTGAAACCCTCCCTGGGCTTCCAGGACACTGTGCCCCTGCTTCCCCTCCATCTGCTCCGGCTTCCCGTTGCCTTTGCAGGCCCCTCTCCTTTTCCTTCCTCGAATGCAGGTGTCCCCCAGGGCCCTTCCAAGGCTTTCCTCTTCTCACTCCCCCCAGTAACGCGCACAGGCAGACAACATTTTTAATTCATTTTCAGGGGCTTCCTGGACCCCCTGAAGACTTCAGATTAAGAGCCCTTGATCCCATGGCTTTAGTTGCCATGTACATGTACATGCGGGTGGAGACAAGCTTGCCAATTTCTTGCCCAGAACTTAACACACTACGCAGAAGCCCTTTTGTGACATGACTGGCGCTTCACATAAATTTATATTTTTCTCCAGTCTTGATGCCAGGCCAAGGCCTTTTCTTTGAGCAGAAGTCTGCTGCATCATTTACGATTTCCAGACCCAATGGTTTAAAATAGAACAAGATTTTAAACCTAATGGTATAACAGTATGTGCATGAAATCCTTCTAGAGATGTACGATTCCCCCTCCTCCCAAGCTTTTACGGTGGTCTTGCCCAGACCTGGTCCTACGGCATTGCTTTAATCACTTGCCTTTATCAGATCACCACTCAGACACAGTGCTGGGGACCCAGCTAAAGAAAAGATCATGGCCCCTTCGGGAGGAATCGGGAAGGCTTCACAGAGGTGGCCTCTGAGCTGAGCCATGGGGATAAGTTCCTAAATAGAATCCATAGAGGCAATAATTCAGGCACTAAAGCAATAAAATTCTCTGTCCAAGTGACCTCCATGGTATTTCCTGTCCAGCACCTCAATCTACCTCAACCACGACGTTAGCCTCTACCACGACGAGGACAGTGTCCGACTCCACAGGAGCCCCGGGGACCCCCGCCCACAGCCCCACCGACCGGAGCCACAACACGGAGATACCAAGCCCAGCAGCTGCAGCCCCGAGCTCAGTTAACGCCCCCAGGGCTTCCAGCGTCAGCCCGTCCACCCCAAGCCCTGCAACCAGCAACCACTCCCAGCACTGTAAGGAAATGAGTTCTGCCTTCTTTCATGACAGAGGGAGCCAGCAGGGGGCACTGTGTGGGATGGAGAGATCGTACCAGAGCCGAATGTTGGTACCTCTGAGGAGGAAGCGGAGGGAAGTAGAATGCCCAACTGCGATGTAGGAGTCTTAGGTGCCCCTAACTTACAGAGGGTCTCGAAGAAAGCTACCTTCTGCCTCTGAGCCTCAGTTTCCTCACCCACGAAGTGGGATAATAATAACCCTTCTCCCGCCTGCTTCACAAGATCACCATGAGAGGCAAAGGAGACAGGGGTGGTAGACGTGCTCACACACACGGCCTCTGCTGCTCTGGGTGTGCGTCTGCGTGTCACGTGTCGTGACACATATACAAGGGAGTGTCTCTTAGATCTGGAAACTTCAGCAGCTCTAGTCTCAGTTCTCAGTACCCTCAGTAGGTTCCTCAGATGATAATATCCATAAATAGTTTGCTTGTGCCTCTTTCCAAACCCTGGGATAAAAGTAATTAAGTTCACCACTTGTTAAATCATCAGAAGTAGTAATTATCACTGCTAGAAAAGTTCCGTCTCATTAACCAGCAAATACCTTTTTAATTGAGTTACCTGCCAAGGGGAGTTTATTTAAGAGGCTCAACTGTCCCATACACCTGTGGCCCAGAAACCCAGCAGCTCTGCAGCCCCTTTCTTACTGGGTCTGCCCTCCCTGTAGAAGCCGGATCTTCAGAGTTGAGCACTTTCCCGGAAACCTGGAGAGGCAGGAGGAACGTGTGAATTCCGGTTCCTCTCATTCAGGGCCCTGACCAGGAGTCCCCACGGGCTTCATCATGCTCCGGGCTTTAACTTGGCTACCCAGTATTTGCTGGGGCCCTGAGGGAGAGGCCAGGGCATTGCCACAGTCAGCTTTGTAAGCAGTGCGGCTCTTTTCTCCCCTTAATAATTAGTCTCCTGCCCTGGCTGGTGTGGCTTAGTGGACTGAGAGCCAGCCTGTGAACCAAAGGGTCGCTGGTTTGATTCAAGGCACATGCCTGGGTTGCAGGCCAGGCCCCAGTAGGGGGTGGATGAGAGGCAACCACACACTGATATTTCTCTCCCTCTCGTTCTCACTCTCTTCCCCTCTCTCTAAAAATAAATAAATAAAATCTTTAAAACAAAAGAATAAGAATAATTAGGCTCCCTTAGAATAACTTGGAGACAGAGACACACTGAGAGGATGGTATTTGGGCCACCGCCGGGGCAGCCCTCTCCTCTCGAAGCAAAAGTAGATGCTGGTCTCTTTGCACCTCGGAGGGCTGTCACGAGGGTCCATGGGACAAATGCCCCTGAACTACAAAGTGCTGTGTGAATGTTACAGTGAAGACGGTTGCGAGAGTGAAAAGGATGATACAACAGACTTTTGAAGACTGCAGTTCACTTTCCAGGCACTTCTCTGTTTAGAATGTGCTTTTACATACCCCATGCCTCACTCCCTGCCCTCTTGAAACTAAGCAAGGCTGTGTCAGGCACTGTGCTAAGTATGCCTTTCACATAAATCATCTCATTTACTCTTTACAGTAGCCCTCGGAGGTAGGTGATACTATCCCCAAGATGAAGTGTATTTATAATATATAATACCTTGCCCAAGGTCACACAAGTGGGGAGTAGTAGGGCTGGACTTGAACCCGAGAAGTCTGACCCAGGAGCCTGTACTCTTGATTCCACTACACAATGTTGTGTCCATTTCAATTACTTCTTAAAGATAAACTGATAATGCAGATGGACAGACAGACCACCAGAAACAGGAGGTACATCATCCTGCAAATGTTTGTATTTTGCAGATGGGAATGAAGGTGGCAAGATGGGTTCAACAGTCACCGCTGCCGTCATCGGGGTCCTTGTGCCCATGGGTGAGTGTGGCCCCAGATCGCGGGGGAGAAAGGAGAGGCTGGCCCAGGCCTGGGGCAAAGCTCTCGAAGGGCAGAGCCCTTGGCGTGCTGACCTTTTTCTGCCCTGACATCTTTCCTGCCCACCTACCTCCCAGTCCTGATTTAGTTTGGCTTCTTAGCTTGGCACACGAGGCCCTTTAGGACTGGGCTCCAGGCACCCATCTGCATGCCAGCCACGTGAGGCTGAGCTGCAGGCTTCGTGGGACGGGGCGGCATCTCTCGTGCTTGCCCCTTCCCCTGGCTCCCAGCAGTGTCTGGCACGCGGGAGGAAGTAAAATGTTTGTTGAGTCAATGAGTGGAGCCGCTCACCATTGCTCCAGTTGTGCCGTCCTGCGTTCTTTCTGTCCGGCCTTCCGCAGACGTTCATCAAGTGGCTACGATGTACCAGACTCTGTGATAAGGGGAGGGGAGGTGGCTAAGAATGGGTGACACGGTTCCTGTCCTCCAAGTTTGTAGTCTTGTCGGAGAGACAGACTTAACACAGATATTTGGATTATGGCACGGTAAGCCCTAAAATTAAGCCGTACGTGGTTCTTTGGAAGTGCTGAGGAAGCATTTAACTTAGAATTGGAAGAGAAGAAAAGCAGGCAGGGAACATTTCCTGGTGGAAATTACAACATATTCAAGCTGAGTCAGCCAAGTGAAGAAGGATCAAGAGCAATCCAAGCGGTAGAGATAGCATGAGCAAAGCCAGGGATGGGAAATGGTGTGGGGGGATAGGGGGCTGGGGGGAACTAGGAGATCACCTGGCCAGAATATAACATTTAGTTAAATCTCACAAAAAAACGCCAGGGGCTGATTCATCCTCTCCACCCCAATATCCACATTGTCACCTGTACATCCTGTCTCACACGTGTCCTCTCTTGGTGGGATCTTTGGACTGTGATTGTCCATTCATAGATTTACCTCCCTTACCGCCCATGAGTAGGACCTCAAGGTCAAAGACTTTGCCCACTTATCCTGGGAATCCCCAATATGGTGGTGAGTTAGTGAGTGAATCTTTTTAAAATCCCACACTGTGGAAAGGGCTGTGCCAAGTGCCAAGGATCCAGGGAAGAAAAAAAGAGTTTAAGAGCTTTCAGTCCCTTAATCAGACTTAGTCATAAAAAAGTGATTAGACAGGGGTCTTAATACATATTATGTGCTGGAATAGAGGCACGGTCTCTGGAGAAGAGGGAATGGTAAATACACCTGGAGAAGATGGCATTTGAATTGGCCTGGAAAGGCTTCAGTAGTAAGGACGATGGTGAGGAGATCCCAGCCTTGCGTTGAGTGGAGTGAGTGGGAAACGCTCTGAGCACTGTTCAGTGAAAGAGAAAACAACCCCTTTCCCAGCATCCTCTGCTCTATCAAAGGAAAAAACATGGGTTTGCTGTTTCCTTGATAATAATCCACTCTGATACAGCCAATATTTTAAATTTCTGTAATCTGAGGAAATAAAAATGAGTGGAAACATATTCTATATTCTTTCCCTGCTTTTTTTCTCGCCTCATAAGCTTATTAGCCATTTATATTTCATCCTGAATAAATTGCCTGTTCACAGCCTTTTTTTTCTATTGGTTCTTTGTCTTGCTCTTATTTATAGAAATGTGTAAATGTGGGGGGGGGGGGGTGCCTGCAGGGCCACAGATGAGAATAAGTCTACCAAGACATGATCTGCTTGGGGAGGAAAGGTGGCTGATCTCTCAAAGGAGAAGCGCCCAGAGCCTTTTCCTCAATAGGCTTTTATTGGGTTCATTTTGCACAGGATTATAGGTAAAGCTCATTAATCATTGTCAGGCAGTAAGGATCAAACAATAGATAACATACAAAGAACTATGAGAGCTTATTCTGAATCAGGGTCTGTTAGCTAAAATGCTACAAAACTTTGAGGAACCAACTCACTTTCTGCTTGGACCCTTATCATTTAATTGAGAGCATTATAAAAAAAAGCAGGTTTCACAGGATTTTACATATTTTTTCTTAGGCCTGATCATCCTAGGGAATCTGGCCTTTCCAGCACAGGGAGGCACCCACTGCCAGCATTGTTTTGGGCTTAAGTCAGACAGGGGAAGTAAGGCAGCCAAGAGATTAGGAGATTTCTTGCAGACTCAGGCTATGTCAAAGCTGAGGGGTGAGGGTCCATCACCTCCTTTCTCCATAGCCCCCCAAGTCCTTCCCTGGGGCCTCCCCATGATTGTGCCTGTCTTAAGTCGTCCCCCCTTGGGGAATCGTATCCGTCATTGATCAAGCATTGGGGGCCAGGAGCAATGAAGAAAAATGAGCAGAAGCAGCGCCACTGCCAGGGAGATGAGCTTTGTCTCCTTAGTGGCTTTTGGTCTGAAGGTCGCTCACTCAGCCTTAGCCATGGGGAGGTTACAGCTTCTGAAACTAGGCAGGGAGGTTCCCAAAATTTATACATAATGAACATGAAACATGCTACAAATATTTTCTTCCACAATGCCACTTGAAATTTGTCTATAGTATCTTTTGCCATGTGTAAATTAAAATTTTTAAAATATCAGATATATTCTTTTGTGTTACGATTTTGGGGTCTTGCTTAGGGAGGTTTGCCTCATTCTAAATTGTCAGAATAGCTCCCTGCATGTTTCTCTGCTGCTTTAAACATTTTCTAGTATTTAAATACTAGCACATTTAATACATTTGGAATTTATTTGAGACTATGGTGGGAGATAGAGATTTAACTATTTCTTTTTCTGTATGCCTGTCTTGTTTTCCCTGGACCATTGCCAAAGAGTTCATCCTTTCCTTCTGACTCGAATGGTCATCTTTGTTGTCAACTGCATGCCCACACGTGCTCTGATCTGCTGCTGGGCTCTTACCCCCTCCGCCGGTACCGCCTGCCACCGCGCACTGGAAGCACAGCCTTGTGCTCTAACATCTGAAAGGACATGATTATTCTTAGAGCATGTTTCCCTGCCATTTTTATTCAATTTCTCTTCAAGATGAACTTTAGAATCACCTTGTTAATCTATAAAAATTATAATGACAACTTATTCTTCAGATATATAAATTGATGTGGAGAGAATTTACCTTTTTACAATATTGACGCTTCCCACGAAGGACCATGACATACCTCTTTGTTTATTTGAGCCTTCTTTTATGTCCTTCAGTGGAATTTGTAGATCACATAGGACTTGCATGTACCATATTAGGTTACCCCAGGTATTTTATAGTTTTTATAGGCTATTGTGAATGTGTTCTTCTTCCACTCCATTTTCTGATTAGTTACTGCTGAGTAATATGAAAACTTGATTTTTATGTGGTTCTTGATTAACTGAAATTATTTCTAAAAGTTTTTCATCTGCTTTTCTAAGATTTCCCAGACATACAGTATCTGTTCAGAATAACAGTTTTGTTTTTCCCTTTCCCATATATGTGCCCTTTAATCCTTTATCTGGTCTTACTGCATTGTCCTATCCCTGGAACAATAAAGAATAACAGCGAAAACAGGCATCCTTGCCTTGTTCCTATCTTTAACAGGTGTTCATTGTCGTCACCTTACAAAGTAGAAACCCCCTCTGTCGCACCCTGGATAGCTATCATCCAGCCTCCACGTAAATGTTCAGGGTGATTGCTAACTATCTTAGGAAGATGCTTGCTTCATTTTTGCCCAGGTCTGTTTGAGAACTCCCTCCTTTAAGCATTAACATATGCCTTTATACTAACTCAGAGCCCGTGTTTCCCTCCTCTGTCTTCTTCTTGCAGAGCCCCTCCAATTTGGGGAGAGAATGGTTTTCTTAGAGAAATCCAGGAAAGCAGCAGCAGTAGGGCTAAGGTGTGGTGAAGAAATGCATCAGCACATGTTACTGAGCACCTACTCAGTGCAAGGCCCTGGGCAGAGAGAGAGAGAGAAGACACAGTCCCTGCCCTCAAAGAGCTCAGGCTAGTTGGGGCACACATGTGTAAGGTACAGCACCATGGTCTAGGAACACATGTGAGGGAGCAACTGGCTCTACCCTGAGAAGTTGAGCTAGGTTTCACATTTGAGCTGGATTTGCAGGATGAGTAATTAACGAAGGAAGAGACAGGAAGAGGGCTTCCAAGCAGCAGAAAAAGAACATGCAGCAATAGAGCCCAAGGAACAAGAGCAGTAAGATTAGAGAGGTGGCAAGCCATGCACCGATGTCTGAGCAACAGGCTGGAGCCTGCTGGTGGTCCAGTAACATGTCTCTTCCTGCAGCGGTGATAGCCCTCCTGTGCATGAGCGGCTACCTGATCTGGAGAAACTGGAAGCGGAAGAACACCAAAAGCATGAACTTTGACAACCCAGTGTACAGGAAAACAACAGAAGAAGAGGATGAAGATGAGCTCCACATAGGGAGGACTGCTCAGATTGGCCATGTCTATCCCGCAGTAAGTGTGCCTTGCTGGAAGAGTTCCTCCCTCCCTTCCTCCCTTCCTTCCTCCTTTCCTTCCTTCCTTCCTTCCTCCCTTCCTCCCTTCCTCCCTTCCTCCCTTCCTTCCTCCTTTCCTTCCTTCCTTCCTCCCTTCCTTCCTTCCTTCCTCCTTTCCTTCCTTCCTTCCTTCCTTCCTTCCTTCCTTCCTTTCTTCCTTCCTTCCTCCCTCCCTTCTTTCCTCCCTTCTTCTGTTCCTTGAAACATTTATCAAGAACCTGCCATGTGCCAGGCACTGTTCTAGGCCCGGGGGACACAGAAATGTTGGCGCAGGTAGCTGGGGTAGGAGGGTATCGGGACCGTCTTTTTACCTAGAGGCTCTTCCTGGAAATAAAGGTGCCCAATGTCTTTCTGCCGAATAAGTTTTCAGAACCTTTCACCTAGAAGGGTAAATGTGGCCATTCAAATGTATTCATTTCAACAAGCACCGTGTGCTGGTTATGAGCCAAGCACCATGTTAGGTGCTAAGTGTTCCAAAGTAAAGAAGGGGCGTACCTGCTCCCAGGGAGCTGGCGGGAGTTAGAGACAGTCACTTCCTGTTGTACGACTGTGTGCCAAGTGCCATGGTGGAAGCTCAGGCGTCCTCTCTTCTAGGAAGCCTGCCCTGGCGTTCTTTGTTTTCCCACAGCCTCTTTCCGTCACAGCACCTGTCTCACTCTGGTCACCTTGTCTTTTTACTCTTTGGCCTTCCCACCAGACCGTGAGCTCCTTGAAGGCAGGGCTATCTGATTAATCTGTGTCCCTGATGCCTAGCACAGCATACGTAGCTCCCAGTAAATATTTGTTGAACAAACCAACAGGGGAGCTGTTAATTCTGTTTGGGAAATTTGGCAGGAAATGCCTCACAGATGAGGTGACAGATAAACTGCATCCTTGAAAGAGTCATAACAGTTTTCCATGTAGAGAAGGAAGACAGTGGCGTTCCAGAAAGAGGCATATGCAAAAGCCGAGAGGCACAACAGGGCATGGCTTGTGGGGGAGCAGGAACTATGAAGTGGCTGCAGCAGGCGGCGTGGTTGTATAGCAGAGTCAGGGGGCTGCGTGTAACCACCGAGGTCATCCAGTCCATCCCCTGTCAGGCAATCAGCAGCTTTGATCGCCCACTGTGGGCAGAGCCCTGTCTTGGGGAGACCAGAGAACTGGAAGACCCAGCCCCTGCCCTCAAGGAGCTTTTTGTCTTGCCGGGAGAACCAAGGTCACAGCTGCACCAACTCCCGAAGAACCCTCTTTCCGAACGGCCTGTCGTCAAGTGCAAGGTAGGGCAGTGCCGCTCGGAGTCCGAGGGGCTGACGAGTGAGGGTGTGACCCAGGCAGGTACAGCCACTCCTGGAAGGAAGGCTTTCTGGTTCTGGGAGGCTGCAACCTGCAAGCTGGGTACTGGGACAAAGAGAAAAGATGGGTTAGTTGCAGATGGAGGAAATGGTATGTGGAAGACATAATTGAGTGTGAGGAAGGCAGGCAGAGTTGCTGCTGAAGCAAATTGTATGTGGAGGGGAGACATGGGAAGTGAAGTTGAGCAAGTGAGGGGGGCTAACCGGTGGCCTTAAGGATTCTTCGCCCAGGCCAATCCAAGAAAACAGCTGCTTAAGTAATTCCTAAAGATCCCAGAGGGCACAGTGGAGGAAATGTTGAGCTTAGAGTACAGAGATGACTCCCAGTTTCACTGTTCCATAGCCCTGTGACCTTAGTCACATCTCTGCTCACTTTTATTTGTAAAATGGGAATGATAGCCCTCCTTCTATCTGCCTCCTGAGTTTATAAAGTTCAAGGGAGATGGCACATGTGAGAGTGCTCTGTGAGTTATAAAGTACCCTGCATGTGGGAAATGGCATTATTTCCAGAGAAGGAAGTGACGACTCAGGAGGAGCCATTCCTAGTGAATCTCCAGTAGAACTGAGGAATGAGCTCTAGCCAGTTGCAGAGAAACAGGATAGGAGAGCGAGGAAGTCAACATTTAGTAAGAACATACTGTGTCAGACATTACTCATGTTTTACGTACATTTGCTCGCTTGGTCTGTGCAGTAACCTGATAAAGTTGGTGTGATTAGCCTCGTTTTGCAGATGAGGAAACAGACTCAGAAATTAAATGATGCCTAGGATCACAACTAGGAAGTGGCAGAACCAGGATTTAAACTCAGTCTGTATATTCACAAAAACCCATGCTCTTTCCACTGTATCATGGGATAAATGATACTCTGGAAACCAGTATTCTCAACAACCTGTTCTTTCCCCTTTCCCTTCCTCAAGTAGCTCCATCAGCACTTCTGGGACCTGCCCTGGACCTAGAGATCTGTCCTAGAGAGAGTAGGGGGGTGACTGGACTAGAAAAAAGACTCCCAAGTATCTGTGCTAGTAGAGGCAGGCGTGGCACTTCCCGAAACAACCAATAACTGAAAGGTGGTTTGAAGGCAGTGGAGTTGCCTTCTACTGTATGTAGAATGTCCGGAGCTGGAAGATGCTAGTGTGGTTGTATTTCATACTGGTTAGGGGGATCTGGAATACTCTGGACCCTGTGTGTGTTAGGTACCGTATTTAACACTCCTCGTACATTATCTCATTTGATTTCCCAACAACCCTAGAAAGTACGGTAGGTCCTGTTATTATGCCCGTTTGATAGATGGTGGAACCAAGGCTCAGAGAAGTGAAGTGGTTAGCCCAAATTCAAACAGCTTATGAGGGGTACTGAAACATGGGTCTGTCCAAAGGAGGGTACCTGGGAAATAGGTGAGTGGGAAGTAGAATTACAACAGGACGGGGTGGGGAAAGCCTGGAGAAGAAAATACTCTGAAGGAAGGGAACTCAGTCTGCAAATTTCAAATGTGGTCAGTGGAGAACTCTCTGAGTCTAACACATAGAATCAGGGAACATCAGGAGGTATAAAGAAACAAATTGCATGTCACTCTAGGAGAGCACTAGAGTCTACCATCCACAATGGAGTAGACTGGCTCAGGGATTAGTGGCTTTACCATCCAGTGGTCAGCCATTTGTCACAGAGGGAAGCCTGGCATCTAATGACTTGAAAGCAGCGGGTAAAGGAACGAGGTATGGAATTTCACTGACCTGCATCACCTTCCAATTCGTATAATCAGTTGGGAGGGGTGCAGCTGATGACCTTCCTAACTGTGCCTGGCATGCTAGTAACCTAGGGTGAAACGTACGCCAAAACTAACCCACTGGAGTTGAGCAAAGCTAAAATCCTATGAGGACAGTGCAAGTTTAGATCTCGGCAGCCCTCTTTTACAAAGCTGCAGAATAGAACGATGGAAATTGCCAAAACTCTGGATTCACACAGATCTGGGTTTAAATTTTAGTTCACCCACTTGCTACGTGATCCAGGGCCAATGTTTAGCTCACTGAGTCTAATTTTTTCATCTGTAAAATAAATATGACAAACCTGCCTCTTAGGGTAGTTTGAAGATTATAAGAGTTAATGCCTGTAAAGTAATAGAATGCCTGATGCCTTATGCATACTTGATAAGTAACTCCTGTGGGTCTAATGAGGATTTCTTTGCTGTGTCTCCCCAGCGAGTGGCGCTGAGCCTGGAAGATGACGGACTGCCCTGAGGACGGGACCGCTCCCGCGTGCCTCCCGGAATTCAGTTCCATGCACTACGCTCTTCGGATGTCGTGCGCCTGAGTGGATGGGTGGATGGGTCTGTGTGCACGCGCGTGTGTGTGTGTATGTGAGATTTATTTTTTAATTTATGTTGCAGAAAGGTAACCACAAAGTTATGATGAACTGCAAACATCCAAAGGATGTGAGAGTTTTTATATGTATAATGTTTTATACACTTTTTAACTGGTTGCACTACCCATGAGGGACTCATGGAATGGCTACTGCTGAGTGACTGACGTGACGGACAGAACCACCCGGGGCTGATGGTACAGTAGCTCACTCATCACTTAAAAACTATATTTACAGAGAGAGTATTTGATTTGGGGGGGATTTTTTAGGTTTTGGAATTTTGGGGGTTTTTTTGTAAATAAAAATGATTATGCTTTGTGGCTATCCATCGACATGAAAAAAGAAAAAAAGAAAAAGAACTTCAACTCCCTCCCTAATTTAGATTATTTATTAACAAACTTCAGAAATAAGATTAGTTCTATAAATGAGTTAGAGACATGAGAGTATTTATTTTGGGTGTGACTGGCCCACCACACAGACTGTGTGTATCTGTGTTGTGTTGTGTGTGTGTGTGTGTGTGTGTGTGTGCGTGCAAGAGAAGAATCTAGAGAAGGGGCACATCTGTGGCTGTTGTTCACGTACATAAAGAGAAGTATATGTTAAAGAGGGTATCTGTAGATTTCAGAAGCCTTTGGAAATGTGACCCAGAAGACAGATACCATGGAGCGTGCAAACATGTAGTGGAAGCGGCAGAATCTGTCCACCTCTGGCTATTCTTGGGACCCCAGTCAGTCAGGAAAAACCCTTCAGCTCACCCGTGGCTCTGTGACTCCTACCTGTGCTTTCTCCTGTGTGGTCAAGGCCAGTGTACACACTTTACACAGTGCCAGACGTTCTCGTGAGCTCAGGTGTGAATATGCCTGAACCTTGGCTACTCCGTGTTTTAAAGTTCAGCATTTCAAGTAAGTTCATTTTCCTTCAGGACACTTGGGTTCAATTCATTAAGGTTCCTCTGAAGCACCTGAGGTAACTGGAGAGGTTTCCGGATCGGCCCAAGTTTACTCTAGGAAGTGGCTTAGGCACAGGATCTCTGAGAGATGCTGTGGATGAGGATAGAGATGGTGGGATGGGCTTTGTTACATCTCCACTTCTCCCTTCCTCTAACTCCCCACCATGTCCCTCAGGTGGGGAGGTGAAGCACACAGGTTAGTTGTCATTGTGTGTTCATATGGAAGAAACTAATTTGGGGCTCAAGTCAGGAAAGTGGACAAGCCTAGCGTCCCGTTTGAGGGGAAATGGGAAACGCAATACTATAGTACACTGGATTCTGTGTTCACACAGGGATTTGCTTTACTGCTTTGTAAATAAAAGGAAAAACTAGGCATATGTACAGATTTTTTTTTCCACTATGGACACTTTCTTTGCTTTTCCTGGGCCTTGGGGGTGGTGGGGAGAAGTGCTCTTTTTCTCTCTGTGGGGTCCACCATTGAAAACATAACCCTACAGTCCCAGAAGGAATTCAGCCCCTGCTGGCTCTCTCATCCAAGGTCTTTTCTTAACTCTGCTGTTCTGCCACTTCTCACCCACTGGACAGCCAGGGACAAGATGTGACACAGAAGTGTTTGGCTTAAGTAGGAGCAGAGAACATGTATCTAACCTTAACATACCTGGAACTTGACACATTTAAGCAAATTCCTCTCCCCTGCTTCCCAGTTGCCCCCAACTAAGTGAAGCTTGGCTATCTCACCATCTCGATGCCCTTTGAATTTCGAGGCAGATTTTCTGGGGTCCTGTCACTCTGTGCCTGAGACCTTTCTCTGCGTCACTCATGGTCTCCTCAGTTCTGAGAAAACAGGAGGCTCCAACCATATTCTGGAGCCTGGGCACTATGCTTTGCATAAATGAGCATTTTGCTCACGGCGTGTATGTGTTGGTCCTGAAAGCTCCACTGAGAGTGTACATGCAATTGACCTAGAACGGTCATTACCAAATAGAATTTTTAAAAGAGGTGGCCAATTCCTACGGAGCTGAATCACTTACTACTATTCTTTCAAGAATGGAGAGTAAAATAATTTTTGACTGAAGAAAAATGAAGAAATTGAAATTTACACAAAACAAGCAGCTTTTTCTGTAACGTGCCTCCAAAGAAATAGAATTTCCTGGGAAAATGACAACAGTGACTAATGCCAAATATCTACATTTTCAGTCAGGTCCTGGCCTTCACAGAAAAAAATAATGAATGGGGTCAGGATGATTCAGCCTGAGAGCTCAAAATGATCATGAAACACAACTTTGTTAGAGACACCCATGTTTTCTGAATACACTACAAGTGCAGTTTGAAAGAGGCAGCTATGGGAGCAACCTATAAAGAATGAAATTGTGGAATACTCACGTGTCACATGGCAATAAAATAGATGAAATCTGAGAGGTCAGGTTCATCCTCTAGTCCTGAAGGTTTTTAAGCCGCATTCTGAGGTTTAGTTGCAATTTTGTTGCCTTTTGCCCCTGCGCCATCACACAGCAACAGTCAAGAGCCGGTCGGTCACAGAGGCGTTGGACCACAAAGCTGGAAGGAAGCTTAGAGGTGATGCCAGGAGGGCAGAAAATTGATCAGATAATTTTTCTCTAATTAAAAGAAATTGGGCCAGGTCCTTTTCCTCCATTTTCTACTCCAGTTGACTGCTTTGCTCTGTCTGAACATTGCACCAAACCTGCTACCTGTCTTTCCAATGAATTATAAAGGCACTGGCAGAAATGGCCTTTGAGAAACAGGGAAGACTAAACGTTCATTTATTTACTTTTGATAGTATGGTAATTTATAAAACAGGTTGAGATAACCTGTAACCTCAGAATGAGATCAGATTTAAGTTTATGGCAATAAGCACTACTGATCCTTCCAATTCTCTGAGACTGAAATATATTCATTCACCAAAACCATTCTCTAGGTACCAACTAAATGTCAGGCACTGCAGATGTACAGATCAGTCAAATGTCTGTCCTTACAGAGTTCACAGTAGCAGTAGAGGAAGGCACACCTGGAAGCAAAAAGAACTGATTCTTTTCAGGGTACTGTTATGGTACAAACAGGAGATGAGGAATGGGGTCAAGAACGCCATCACAGGAGAAGTGACCTTAAGCTAAGTCTCAAAAACTAAGACACAGGCATGAAACAGCATGGGGACTTTCAGGAACTGCATGTAATTCACTAGAATGAGCAAAAAGCTCATGGGAGACTTAGCAAGAAATGAGGCTGGATGGAAAGACAGGTTCATTATAAGCACTTTATGGAATACTTCTATTTAACTTCAGCTTCAATTAAGCAAACATTTCTTGGTCATTGATTGCATACAAGGCACCAAATGCATGGGAAATTCATCAGGATGTGTGGCCTGCACTTGCAGGCATGACAGGCTTCAGCCCTCGAGCTTTCCAGTGGCCAAAGGGAAACAGTTATTGCTTTTCATATATTTGAGTTGAAGTTTCTTGATATGTCAACGAAAACTAATATAAGGGTAGTAAGGTTTTCGCAGAAGCATTCCATGCTGTCAGGAGCCTATGAGATTTTTCTCAACAGTGAGAAAGGAAACGACATTTGGAAGACATGGCATCTGCAGAGGGGGCCCCCCAAGCACTGTCCGGTCAGGTGCTGGTGGAAATGAGGAGGGGGTGCAGGAATGTGAGCCCGCCCACCTCACTCCCTAACTTCAGCCATCTATTCGTCATTTCACACTGTAGAAATGGTTAGCAGTTGAATGCTCCGGAATGAATTGTTCTACCAATGCATGAAGATTAAGTATTGGAGTCTTCTCACACTATTTTTAGGGTTTGGGGGGGTTTTCAGGATATGGAGAACTCAGAGGTGGAGGAATTACAGCTTCTGATGATTTTCAGCTAATAAAAGAAATCAGGAAGCTCTATTCATTCAGGCTGTGCACCATGTGCATAGTCAAGGATCAACAGAAACCCTCTGTATTTGCAAACACTTTGTGCTATAAAAAGTAATTTTAAAAGAGCCACCTGTATAATGTACATATATATATTTAAAGACATGAAGGTTTTGATACTTTTTTACAAAAAAATTACAAGATAAATACCTGTGCAAACCATGTGTTTTAAAATAGCACTTTGTTCTGTAATTGCTGTTGTTAATTTGGGGGGTAAAGTTCTGGTTTGCGAACTCCATCAGATTGTACCCACATGAATTTTCCTTGTTTGTCTCTCCCACGCACACATGCCCTCAAATTACCATATTTAATGTTTGATGTAACAGGCATGTTAGAACGTTGGGTCACACTAACCGTTTCCACTCTTTCTGTCTTGTCATTCCAAGTTCTGTTAGCTTCTGTACTCGGTCCCCTTTGCAGTCCGGTTTCTCTTCCAGACGCAAAGGGTGGTGTGTTGCATCTCACTAGCTGTACTGACATCCTCTTGGTGAATTAATAATCAAATGTGGGCATTTGTCAAATCAGTGCACTGTTTCTAGAGAAAGATTAAATTCATTTTTTTAAATCTAAAAGTATTGTCTCATTGTGATGCCTTAATGAGGGAAGAGTGAACAGTCCTTGATTGAGTCCCTAATGTGTACTCATACTTCTACATAAATTACCTCAATCTTCATCAACAACCCTGTGGCATAAATACTATCAATGTTATCATTCCCATTTTATAGATGAAGAGATGAGTGAAGGAACTGCCCAAAGCACACAGTTATGTTTAGTGCCCTCCAAATACAGGCAGCGCCCAGAGTGCTCATGTACAGGGGATGTTCTCTGCCGGGATTTTCCTCCGCTGCCTCTCCGTGTGGCTAACTCCTTTGGTCCTTGAGCACCACTGGAAGCATTTTCTGTTCTTCCAGACCCAGACCTAACTCATAGGGTCAGGGAACTTTGCTTCCACAACAAACTGGACCTATTGTATCCCAATACTTCCGCCCTGCTTCTCACTGCCGTGCCACTGAGGTTGCTTTCACCGAGGTCACCCAGGACGTCCTCGGTAATCTTGTAAATACTTAAGTCCTATCTTCCTTGAGCCTAGAAGGAGTATTTAACATTGTTGGCACTCCTTTCTTGAATACTCTTATTTCAGTTTACAGGTCACCATACTCCCAGTTTTCCCCCTAACGGGCCACATCTTAATCTCCTTTACCCACCCTGTAAGTTATGGTACTCCATCTTAAATTCATCCACTTTTGTATCTCTATTGCCACTACTGGGGTGTATGTCACCGTCATCTTGGATTCTCATCATTATAGATTAGTAACTACTTATTTTAATTTTATACTTCTAATCTTTCCATTTTGCAATCCAACCTACAACACTGCAGCCAGAGTGATCTTGCTAGAATGCAAATAGGTCATGTCACTACCACCCCTTTCCACTTTACTGCTTATAGCCCCTTCATCTGTTTCCTGATGTGAACACCAGCCCACAGTGTCCATGGCATTATGGATGAGATGAGATGAATTCCCACAGATTACAGAAATCGGTGGAGAAAAAGAGGTAACATGGCCACTCTCTCAGTGAAAGAGAGGGCCTGCCAGACCCTTGCTTGGATAGGCTTTTATTGGGTTTAATTTGCACAGGAATACAGGAGTATATGGAAAGCTCATCAATCATTGTCAGTAATGAACAAATAGATAACACTCAAAGAACTCTGAGGTCTTATTCTGACTCAGGGTCAGATAGCTAAAGGGCCATAAAACTTTGAGGAACAAACTCATTTCAGGCTTGGACCCAGGGAACCCACCCATTCCAGAACAGGGCAGAACCCACCTCTGGCATTGTTTCAGGCTTAGGGCATTGTTTCAGGCTTAAGTCAGGCAGGGCAAGTAAGGCAGCCAAGAGATTAGGAGGCTTCTTGCAGACAGAATGAGGACTCTGGCTATGTCAAAGCCAAGGGGTGAGGGTCCATCACCCCCTTTTTCCATAGCCCCCCAAGTCCTTCCCTGAGGGTCCCTTTCATGACCATGCCTGTCTTAGGTTATCCCTCCTTTGAGGAATCTGACCCGTCATTGGTTAACCAATCATCGCCCCCGGGGCCAAGCAGGGTGAGGTGAAAGGGGGCAGAGGTGGTGCCCCTACAAGGAAGCTAAACTTTGTCTCCTAAATGGATTATGGTCCCAAGGTCTTTTTATTCAGCCTTAGCCACAGGGGACTTACAGCTTCTGAAACCAGGCAGGGCGGTTCCCAACAGTTTCCCTTGCATTAAAGGCCAATTCCCTGGGGTTTTAGCCCAAACTAATTAATATGGCTTGGCTTGTAAAGTCCTTCGTGATTTAGCTGCGGCTACTTCTCCAACTTCATTACAGTATTCACAACTTCATTCGGATTCCAACCACACAGTTCTGGACCCTCTCTCTGGAACATTTCTTCAGAAGACTTCCCTTAAGCCCCTAGACTGGATTAGGAGCCACTCCATGTACTTCCATGGTATACTGTGCTTCCCCTACTTGTAACCTTTATCCCTACATTTTAATTGCTTGTGTGCTCCTCAATTGCCTCCTCTGCAAGCTCTATAAAGCTCCTGTTCCCTGTTGTAGTCCCAGCACATGACGCACAGTAGCTGCTCAGTATATTATGCTGGATTCAGGGACATCAGCCACACAGACCATGCTCTTTCATCTATACCAGGGGTATCAAACTCATTTTCACTGAATGTAGAGCTCCTTGCCCCTAGTTTGGGAGTAGTTACATTTATAAAGTCCTAAAATTACATTTGGCCCCCAGTGAAAATGAGTTTGATGCCCCTAATCTATACCATTCTGTTGCACACCCCCAAACCTGGATCACCTTACGGTCTGCTTGGAGTCAGGTGTGCTTTAAATTTTCTCAGCACTTTTGTTATTTGCCACAACTTCAGATACCCAAATTCACCAGTTACATTATAATTTTAATAATTTCACTCTTGGAAAATAACCTTGTGGTAATTACCCAAAGTCTCTATATACTTAACTTCAGTCACCACCTGTCGTGAGGATTCAAAGAAGTCACACTTGTAAATGAGCTCAGCCTTGGAGCCGACATTTATTAGGTGCTTAATACCTATTGGTTCTCTTCTCGATTTTTTATACAATTCATTTGTTACCACCTACATCCAGCACTTTTTAAAAATAAAATGCCTTATGTTCTTATAGTAATTTACAGTTTGCAAAGTGTTTTCCAATTTCCATGACACTGTCTTTTTTAAAAAGATTTTATTTATTTATCTTTAGAGGAGAAGGGAAAGAGAGGGAGAGAAATATCAATGTATGGTTGCCTCTCATTTATCCCCTGCTGGGAACTGGCCTGCAACCCAGTCATGTGCTCTGACTGGGAATCGAACTGCGATCTTTTGGTTCACAGGCCCACACTCAGTCCACTGAGCTACACCACCCAGGCCTCACAACACTGTTTCTTATCCTTTAAAACAGTTCCGTCCAATGTATAACATTATTATGCCCATTTTAAAGATGAGAAATCTGAGGTCCAAAAAGTTCATTCAGTTCACTTCTGGTCAGTAAATCATTGTCATACAAAGGATTCTTTTAATACACATCTCCAGTGATTTTTCTCCCCATCACACCCACTCTATATTCTATTGCCAGTGCTTTTTCAGAGAGAAAAGGAATAATGGCAAGATTGGGAGTGAGAATCAGAGACCATGGGTCTGAATCCAGAATACAATTACAGTCACCAGGTCCCAAGAATGGGGAGCCAGGGATGCCATCTCAACCCTGTTCCTAGAATCAATTCCATTCCCCCTCTAGCTGGAACTTAGAAGAGCCAAAGTAGTCCTCTAATAATTAGGATTTTGATTGCCTTTGATTGCCTCCTTGCCTAAAGGAGGAGGAAATTTTTTTTTCCATGGCCACAGAAAGCCTTCCAGAGGTCAAGCACTTTGGACTGGAGAGACAAAAGCCTGTTGGGTAGTTCTCAACCCTGAGTCATCAGGGGGAATTTGCAACACAATAACAATAACAACAACAACAACAACAAACACCCATGCCCAGGTCCACTGTGAGGGAGGTTTTGATTTAATTGGTTTAGGGTGGGGCCCAGGCATCAGTATTTTTTAGACGCTCTGAGTTTGATCCCATTGCACAGCCAGGGCTGAGAAATCACTGGTGGGTAGTGCATAGATGGCTGGGGAGTGGCAGATCAAATATTCAACTTAACCTCTACTCTCGTCACCTACTCCAGAGACCCGTGAGGGAGAAAGATAGAAATGAAAGGTAGAAATTGAGAAAATGCGGGATAAATTCAGGGACGCTCATTCCAGGGAAATGGCAGTCTCCACTGTGGATTCAGGAAAAGAATCGCTGAGAAAGATTTTTTCGAACCAAGCCTTAACCAGCAAAGTTAGGTCGCAGCCAACTTTTGACACGTGCATTAATCATGGGTTGAGTTCTGTGAGGTCTGGTTATTTAACCTTGTTTTACACTGTTGAGACAACCTAGGTCCAAAGGCAACTCGCACAAGTGGGGTGTCCTCCAAATGGAGGTTGAACCTGGAGGGACGCAGCAATCGGTTTGTTCAACCGGAAGCCTTGAACCTAGGTCTACAGGCCGCCCGCCTTCGGTGAATTCCAGCCTTGCGGTTTGTAGAAACCCCAGGCCTGGACTGAGGGGGCGTGACTGCACTGACCCCGCCCCCGACTGATGGGACATCTTTTCTGCCTGAAGGGCGTAGAAGCCTCACCCCCCAGCTCCGGAAGTGAGCCCAAGAAAATTCACTAGACCCAGGGCGATGGCGCTGCTCTTACGTCACTTCCGCGTGCCAAACGTCACTTTCAGGCGCGTACGGCGGCGCGGCGGTTTGCTATTGGTGTTCGGACTCCGTGGTCCTTCGTGAGCCATGGAGAGTGACTTTTATCTACGTTACTATGTGGGTCACAAGGGCAAGTTCGGCCACGAATTCCTGGAATTCGAGTTCCGACCAGATGGTGAGAGCGATCCTTCCCCCGCCCCGGGAGTGAGGACTAGGCCTGGGGATGGGCGCCGGGAGGCCAGGGGGATCTGGAATGTGCGGGGGTCTAGTGGAGGAAGGAACGGATCTGGAAGGGAAACTCTTATGTTCGCCCCACTGGTTCTCCTTGTCCAGGTGCAGGGTCTTCTGCTTAGTGACATTTTTTTAACCAGAATGCTTCAACTAACATTGAACACCCGCTTTGTACCAAGCTCTGTTCCACAAACAGATGCAGGAGTTCTAGGGCTAGGAGAGAAATCAGTTAAAAAAAAAAAAAATTCCAGGTAGTGATGAGTAGTCAGAAAATAAAACAAAATGATGGAATAATTACTGGTGCGCTGACTTTAAATAGGGTGGCCATTAGAGAGCTCTCTGAAAGGGGGATATTGAACCGAATCTGGTTTGGCAAGAAGGAACCAGCCTTATGAAGCTCAAAAAGAGAATTTAGTGAGGTAGTAATAAGTGTCAGGGCTGTAGGGCCAGGATGAGCCAGGCGTATTTCAGGTGGTCAATGTGGTTGAGTAGTAGTGAGCTCTGGGGAGAATAGTAAGAGGTAATGTGGGATAGGAGGCAGTGGTCACAACACGTAGGTCTTTATAGGCCATGGTAAACAGTTTAGTTTTTATTCTAAGTGCAGCCGGAAGCAATTGAAAAGTTTTAAGCAGATAAGAGATGTGATCTGTTCTTGCAAAAATATTCTAATTATTTTGGGTACAGAATGAGCAAAAGTGGAAACAGGGCTACTTATTAGGAGACAGTTAACAATAGCCCAGACAAAAGGGATGTTGGTTGGGACTAGGGTGGTTGTAAATATGGAGAGAAGGGTTTAGGAGAACCAGTATGACTTTGTTAGTTACAGGATTTGGGGTGGGGGGGCACAGTGGTGAAGGAAAAGGAAAAAGATGACAGAAAATTCCCACAAAATGGGGGCATAAAGACGAATCTGAGAAGCCACATTTGTAAAGGAAATAGATTTGTAAGCAGTGACAAGATACTGTAAACAGTACCTAATACACTGTGGTAGAAAAGAAACAAAAGGGATTCTGGGGGCATGAAGGAACACACCTAATCTAGCCTGAGGGTTCAGAGGAGGCTTCCTGCATAAAATGAGGGAAGGGGATGTCAGTGTTTAGTAACTGTAGGTGTTATTTAGTTAGATGAGAATTAAGGCATTTTGGGCCCTGGTGGTGTTGCTCAGTGGACTGAGCACAGGCCTGTGAAGCAGAGGGTCCCTGGTTTGATTCCCAGTCCTGGCGCATGCCTGGTTTGCTGGCTGGGTCCCCAGTGGGGGACACATGAGAGGCAACCACACATTGATGTTTCTCTCCCAGTCTTTCTCTTTCCCTTCCCTTCTCTCTGAAAATAAATAAATAATAATTTTAAAAAAAAGGCATTTTGGACAGCATTAATGGCAAAGAGGCTGAAAAACAAGAGGTACCTGGGATGTTTCAGGCAGAAACCAAGTAATGTGATTGAGTCCTACTAGGTGAGAGAGGGATGTTACAGGAGTGAGCCTGGCAAGGACGGCAGGGGCTCAGCTTAGCAGGATGTGGTGTTGAATTTGCATTTTATCAAGAAGGCAGTGGGAAGCCATTGTCAGTATCAGAGTATTAGAGTATCCTAATCAGATTATTCCTACAGTCATTGCATCAGAGCCTAATCAGATCTGTTCCTACATCAGGTTGCCCACTGTGTGGAGAATAAACTGGAAAAAAAAAAAGACACTTGAGGCAGACAGAGGGTGCAGTGAGGCATCAATTAATTTGGCTCTTTTATCTTCTCCTTTGTGCCCACCATACACCCAAATTAGCCTGTTGAATGCACATATGTGCAAAGGACCTCGTATACCAAGTGTGCTAAATTATAAAACCACTACTTTTCCATCACAGGGATAGGTCTGAATGTTGCACAGTCACATGGTAATATATGTAAACAGCATTTTATAGTTTTCAAAAGGCTTTTATGATTCATTCGAGACTCAGGAGACCCTGTGTGCAGGTAAGTTACTGTTTATTATCCTTTTTTCAGCTGAAGACATTAACCTGCAGAGATCTGATTTTCAGAGTCACAAAAATAACCTGCCTGTCTTCTTTTATATACCTGAGCCACCTTTTGCAAGAACTGTAATGTAGCATTGGCTGTATTTTTGGCTGTGAGGCTATTTAATAACCTAAAGTGAAGAACTGAAGAAAATGTATTGTTAAAACACTAAAGGTGTAAATATTAAATATGTTAGACACTTGAAGGGAAAGTTAGGATACATTTTAAGCAACAACTGATGGTCTTAGTAGGCTAATGATGGTTTATTCATATGTTTTTATTATAGTGAATTTGTTTTTTGCCCCTCTCAGGGAAATTGCGATACGCCAACAACAGCAATTATAAAAATGATGTCATGATCAGAAAAGAGGTAATGAGTATTCTGTTCACCACGGTTTAGCCTTTTGTCTTTTTTTGTCCTTTCTGGGAGTAGTATTGAAAGACAAAGGGTAGGAAAGTGTACACATGTCTCTAGAAAGCTTCTCAAGTTTTTCTCAAATCTTTTAGTTTGTGTTTTCTTTCCCAACACTGAATCAGTTATTAGTAAGCATTTGAAGTCTTACAAATCTTGATTTTAACCCTGAATCTTCTGCTTACCAACCATGTGACCTTGGGCAAGTTCATGGATGAACTTGATAAACTTAGTTTCTTCATCTGCCAAAACAAAGAATTAATGAGAGCTACTACCCCCCACTCCAAGTGTTTGGTGTGTTCCATGGCACATGGCACTCAGTAGAGTTCTTTAATTTGCATTGAGTGGGAAAACAGTTAACATTATTGAATGCATGTTAGAGAGCCTGGCATGGCACTAAATATTTTACACACATGATGTTATTTAACCCTGATCAGAAGCCTGTGTGATGGGTGGTATTAGATGCCCTTTACAGTTAAGACTGTGAAGGCCCAGATATTAATTCTGGGACTTGTTCAAAGTCACCCCTGCGAGTAAGAGATAGCGTAGGAATTCAAACCTGTGCCTGCCTCTCTCAATTTCATGTGTTCCATTTTGGTGTGATTTCTACCGCATCATTAAATCCTCATCAAAAACTACACTTATAACTGGTTTGTCAACATTTGAAAATATCTTAACAGTCTATATATTTTCATACTATTATATTTAATTAGCAGTCACTTTTATGTTTACCAACACGTTAGCTCCCTCATATACCATCCAACCACATACACACATTTTTTAAGTAAACTAATATGCAAAGTGCCTTTAAAAGGCATGTCTCTCCCCTTGAGAAGCATGTCGTCTGGTTTAGAATAACCAGGGTTACTCCCAGGTCTTTTGTTTTAGGTTTAGGTGTGAATTGGTCTGTAGGCAGGGAGAGGGTCCATGTGAACAGTATGTGCCAAGAAGCAGACACAGCCGTAGGGGACTGAGGTGTAGTCATTGGGCACCTCTGACCCTTCCATGTGAAGTCCCATTTGCACAGGTGTCCAAAATAAGTTTTTAGGAACAGTCTTTTGTGTCTTTAATCACTATTTGAGGCAAAACACTGCTTAGGAATACAATTTAAATTTCTGGTTTTTAACCCGTGTTCAGGCTTACGTACATAAAAGTGTGATGGAGGAACTGAAGAGAATAATTGATGACAGTGAAATTACCAAAGAGGATGATGCTCTGTGGCCTCCTCCTGACCGAGTGGGCCGGCAGGTGAGTATTTGAACCACTAGCCAGAGTGCAGAAATCTTACAACTAGGATAAGGCGACTGCCCTGCATATGACATTGGATCCGCTTGTGGTGTGTGTATGGGCTCACATATATTTTGTAGCCCTACACAAGGCAGATTGCCTCCTTCATTTAAAGAAGTAATAATCCCATAGGGAAGGAACAGAGCGAGAAGTGCTGCTGACTACCTAGAGCCCAGTCTTGAATTTCTCATGACACCCCTCTCCCCTTCTTAGAGTTTTTGCGGCCCACCTTACCTAATGAGTATCTGCTATAGACAGAGCCCTGTGAGGACACAAAGATACATAGAGCATAGTTATTGCAACCGTCTGATGGAAGGAAAATCATGCAAGCAACTAAGTATATGAGAGATCATTTCTTTTAACTTCGCTTTTTTCCCAGTCCAGATTCTAATTAATTTCCTTGTTTCTCTTGTCATGTACAGCCCATTTTTCCATCCTGAAGCCTGGGTAATCTCTTAAAGATTTGTTTATGTGTAGCACGTCCTCAAATAACATCATTTCATTCAGTGTGGCTTCCTTACAATGTTGCTGGGATGCCGTAGAAACTTCACTGTTGTTTCTACCAATTAGCCTGTGGTAAAATTGGTTTCGTTACACCACATTGTTTTGCTTAAAGTCGCAGAACCTATCAACAATGTTAAGTGAGGACTTACTGTATTCCACTGATTTTAAACTCCAGTAGCTTCTTACTGCATTTAAAATAAAATACAAACTCCCACCTTTCGTTCTACCAGTCTCACAAACTCTGGCTGTGTTCAGACCTCACCGGCCTTTCTTCTGTCCTTCAGACATAACCTGTTGTTCATAGCTGAGGACCTTTGTGTTTGCTACATGCTCCCTGGAATATTCTGTCAAGAACTGCCTTTACTATTGAGGGCTTAATATATTACTTCTTCGGTGATATCTGTCCATCAAATCTAAAACACCCATCCCCTCATTAAAAAGAAAAAAATCTGTGTTATCGTCTTGATAGCATTTATATTGTCCAAAATTGTCTCACGTTGCCCAGAAAGATTAGATTCTTTTAAAAAATTTTTTAAAAGATTTTACTTATTTTTGGAGAGAGGGGAAAAGGAGGAAGAGAGGGAGAGATACATCACTGTGTGGTTGCCTCTCTCACACTTCTGTACTGGGGACCTGGCCCACAACCCAGGCATGTGCCCTAACTGGGAATCCAACCCGTGACTCTTTTGTTCACAGGTCTGCACTCAATCCACAGAGCCCCACCAGCCAGGGCAGATTCTTGGTATTTGTAAAACATAGGTTTATACATTTTATTCCACACTGTTGGCAATAAAAACTCATGCAAAACAATTATGTAATTTCTTCCAAATCCCAGATGATGGAGCCTTATGGATACAACTTCCTTTAAAAGTATGAGCTACTCAAGGGCTAAGCCAGTATTTAATTAGCTCTTTGTTTCTAGTACCTAGCACAGTTGCATGCTCAGAGTGAATGTGTCTTTGCTTTTGTGTAGTAGAGTATATGTGACTTGGCAAATGATGAACCCTTCTATGCAATTAATGAAAAATCTAGTTTTTCTTGACTTGGTTTTTTTTATTTTGGGTTTTGTTTTTTTCTTAATGTTTCTAGGAGCTTGAAATCGTCATTGGAGATGAACACATTTCTTTCACAACATCAAAAATTGGCTCCCTTATTGATGTCAATCAATCCAAGTAAGTGTTCATGATCCTTACATCCAGATGTGTCTGTTTGGCAGCAGAGTGACAGGGAACCCCTACTAGACTGGGGCCGTTATGGTAAGACCTTGCACACACACAAGGCAGAAGGGGTCAGCTTTGTCCCTCTCACTGTGAAGTGACTCAGTTATTTTGAGGGCTTGCTCCTAGTGCTTTTGGTGTTTTATGTAATTATTACTAATAAGAGCTTCTCAGGGACACACAGTAATGCCATAGGAGCAGCCAAAGAGAGTAACAGTCTGTCCAGAAGAGGAAAATGAAGTATGTCAATACAAGTGCTTGAGATGATGCTGTGGAGTCACTGACCCTAAACACCGTCCTCAGTGTCGGTCATTCAGACGTCTTTAAGTCTGACTTGGGTGAAACTTGAAATTATTTGGAATACAAATTTCAAAATTCAGATTATCAGTTGGGCAAATTATAAAGTTGAATCATGAATCTGTGCCGCAGAGTCCTTAGAATTTGACAACCTCTTTGGCTCTTGGATTTTGCAGGTGGGAGATTAGATGCAGCTCACTTTTAGTACCTGGTGGGCATAATTGTTCTCCTCTGGACAGTCTCTTTGCTCTTAGCTGCTTCTTCAGCCTCTTGGTCCTAATAAGGACCACTTCTTTTAAAAAAATTTTTTTTTCCGAATACCACTCCCACTGCCCTGCCCTGGCCCTTGCTCTTTCTTCCTCTTCCCGCTATTCCTCACTCTTTCCCTCTCACACCTTCTGTGTGCACACGCTGAGGAAGGCCATGTGAGCACGTGGCGAGTTGGTGGCTGTCTTCGAGCCAGGAAGAGGGCCCTCACCAGAACCCACGCATTCTGGCACCCTGATCTCTAACTTCCAGGCTCTGGAATTGTGAGAAAATAAATTTCTGATGTTCAGCCCAGCCAGTCTTCATTATTTTGTTGTGGCAGCCTGAGCAGAGTAAGGCAGGCACCGCAAGTATCTTTGGGAGACCAGACAACCCACAGTGGCTCTGAACTTTAGATAACCAATAAAAGTATTTTCCAAACTACATTCTGCTAAATACTAGATACAGGGGATATTAATAAGTGTTTCTGAGCAATAAAAAGTATCCTATGGCGAACAAAATCTCTTCTTGAAGATAAATAATTCATAAAAGCATATTAAAAACTTTTTTAGGATTTTATTTTTAGTGAGAGTGGGAGGGAGGGAGACAGAGAGGGAAGGAAACATTGATGTGTGAGAAAAGCATCAATTGGTTGCCTTTCACATGCCACTAACCACGGACCTGGCCCACAACCCAGGCATGTGTCCTGACTAGGAATTGAATTGGCAACCCTTTGGTTTGTAGGCTGGTGCTCAATCCACTGAGCCACACCAGCTAGGACAGGATATATAGTTCTTTAAAAGCACACAAAAAAATATCATTTAGATCAACAATATGTGATTTCAATAAAGTTTTTTTCCCTTAATATAAGCATTTCCCCGTTTTAAAAAAGTTAACATTTTAAATGACCTCATAATATCCCATTTTAATATATAGTATATAACCATTTCCGTCTTTTTGAACATTTTCTCAAAGCTTTAGTTCTGTAAATACCTTTATGATAATATCTTGGTACATAAGCTGGGTTATTAAATGGTATTATCTTGCCAGTTTTTTTCAGCTTTTTAAGTATTTTTTCCCTTTGCATTTTAGGGACCCAGAAGGCTTACGAGTATTTTATTATCTTGTCCAGGACCTGAAGTGTTTGGTCTTCAGTCTTATTGGATTACATTTCAAGATTAAACCAATCTAGACTGAATGTTGGTGTGGACACGAGGGGGGCGGGCAGAGCTGCTTTTTCATTACCATTATTAGGAGATTTTTGTGTATATGAGGCCAATATTTTTTTATAAACTATATATGATTGTGTCTAATAAATATGTAACAAAAGACAATTTAATCATTTTTAAAGATCTGAATGTGTGGATTCTTCTCAATTACTTTTTTAAACTATTTACATCCAGCGTGAAGTACTGCCCCCAAATCTGATTGAATCAGCTCTGTAGATACAACTACCAATTCACAGAAAATAAACGTTAAAAAGTACAGTGGGAGTCCAAACAATATCCAGAGAAAACTTCAGGGCAAGGGATCTGGTTTCTTCAATAAATAAATTGCAAACATAAAGTAGAGATGGAGCAGGAACCTATAGTTTAAAGGAGATTTAAGAGATACATAATGTTTGGATCCCATTTGGATCACGATTCAAAAATTTAAAATTGACATTATGGAAATGTGAACACTAGATACTCGATATTAGTGAAATAGTTATTTTTTAGGTGTGAAATGGTATTAAATCTGTTTTTTTCTGTTCACCTTTATTGAGATACAGTTGAGGTTGGGTTTTAAAAATTGTCTTTTATAGGTACAGCTATTTCAGTGTGGGAGAAAATACTTGTAAGAGGGATAAAATGCCTCGTCTCAGTCAAGTTTTCCAATACATTTTAAGATCAGAGCTTGTCAGGATGGCCGAGTGGTCTAAGGCGCCAGACTCAAGCTTCCGCTTCCCAATACATTTTAAGATCAATACTAACAGCCATTAAGATCTGACACCTAGTGTGTACACATAGTGTGGGAATTTGTTATGCAAGTAGACCTGTAGGAACTTTTTCTTGCCAAATTCCTTAATGAGCCAATTGCTGGTTGAAGAGATCGTTGGCACTGAAAGGAACCGGGCCTGAATAAGTCATTTGGCTGAAGGGAAGTGATTGGGCAAAGCTCCATCCCTCTAGACAGGCCAACTTCGGACAAGATCCTGACTCCTAGGCCAGTGGTCCCGCTGCTCCCAGCATATACATATCGTACTCTGCCTTCAAGGACACCAGGGCAGCAGGTTAAGTGCTGATCTGGGACCTCAGACGTCAGGGTTCCCGACTAAAGGGTACTTGGGGCAACGAGGAAAGTTGGTGTAAAGTAGGTATCAAAAACAGTTGTTCCAAATTTTAAAGAAATGACAGTAAGGAGCTCAGCGCCTGCAAGGTCTCATGTGCCTTGAACAAAAGGGCAGGTAAAAGAGTCAGTAAATGTATAATAAACTAGATGGGAACCCAGAGAAGAGCTAGATGAGTGTCCAGTCTTGGGGGCCACAGTAAGGACGAGTGCACGGGACAACCCTGAAAGGCCCTGAGGGGGAAAGAGGAAGGAGCAGTTTTGAGGGGAAAAAAACGCAGCCCCCAAATTTGTGAAGCTGGGCCTGGTCAGAGAGAAGCGCCCTGATCTAAGAAGCCTCAGAGAGCCGTTGGGTAAGGGCAGGCAGGGCGGTGAAGAGCCAGGAAAGACACTGAGGGGCAGGATGAAGTGTGCTGCGGTAGCCGTAGACTAGCTTGGTGCAGGTACGAGACGTGAGTTCAGAAACTATCTCGAATTACTGCGAAGTCAAAACACCTATTTCCTCCACCTACCGCCAAAAAGAAAAAAAATCCTGCTGCGCGGAAGGACCGGCGCGCAGAGACCCGCCCCCGCGCCGTCCCACGCACGGCTGTGGCCAGCCCCAGGGTACGCAAGCGGCGCACTCCCTTCCCCGTTTACGACAGACCGTAAAGTAGCGACTGCGGAAAGCGCCGGCCTGAGCCAGGCCACTATGGGGGTGAGACGGAGGTGAACCGCTGCTGGGGCAATAGCAGGACAGTAGGGCAGATCTGGGGTGTAGGCGCTCGCGCCCGGAGAGAATGCGGGCAATGGGCTTGCACTGAAAGGAGAAAGGCATCATTCATGCTGCGATGGGCGGGGCTGGAGGGTAGGCGTGGGGATGCGCCTTTAGCGCAGTTGCTCTGACTTTCCCTCTTAGAAAATCGCGCTGCAGCTTAAAGCCACTCTGGAAAACGTCACTAATCTCCGGCCCGTGGGGGAAGACTTCCGGTGGTACCTAAAGGTGAGGGGCGGTTGCGGGGGCGGGGTCCTGCAGAGGAGAGGGCGGAGCACCGAGAAGCTGTGGGCTTTTCGAGGTCCCAGGAGGGGACGCCAGAGGTCTAGCCCCAGAGCAGGATCGGTGTTAACAGGGGCTTACTCTCCCGCATGATTAGAAGTATTTAAACATTAAATGTCCCTCTTTTTTTAATGAGTAGAATTTTATGTTTGATTTTAAAAGTTTATTGGTTGTTTAATTGGCAATGTCTTGGAATTGCTTTTGTAATTTTTGCGTTTAATATTTTGTGGCATGTAAACAAATGCTAAATGAAAGACTACTTGGAGGTATATTGTGATTATTCATTAATCACAGTAAGGAGGCTGATTCACCGGTTTCATTTGTTGATTGGTTTTATTGTGAAATCGTTTGATTTTGTGCATGGCTCCACCCTCACCTCCCACCTCATACTAGTAAATCTGGTGCTACCCAAGTGGCATGGTCTACAGAGGCGCCCCTCTTACCCCAGCAGTTTGAGGCCTTTCATGCTCCCGAATCCCAGAGCTTCTGCTCTGTCCCTCCTAGTCTAAATCACAGCATCCTTCCATAAAAGCCTTTTCTCTTTCAGAAGCCCCCGACCACCTTGAACTCCATATATTTTGAAGCCCAAGTGCCAGGGCTTACTTGGGGAATTGATGTCCTTTGGTTTCAAAAAGTATAGAGTCTAGGGAAGAAGAAAGAGAAACAGAAATAGAGTAACGACAGTGTGATACTTAGACAAAGGACCTACAGGGAGGGCCTGTAGGAACACAGAGGAAGCTCCTAACCTAGCAGGGTGGATGGGGGGCCTCTTGAGACCATTTCTGTTCCACATGAGCCTTGAATTCCCAGCTAGAATGGGCACTTCTCAGAGGAGGTTGGGGACACCCACAGGAGAGGCATCTTGGCCTGTTCCTGCCCAGAGGTAAGTCTGGTTAAGTCCTTGGTGGGGCTGGTTGTAAGGATGAGGTGAGATTGCTGACATGAAGGTAGGTTATGAGCCTGCCTTCTTACCCTTCCCTTAGTGTCTGCCAGCTGAACTCACTACTTTACTAATTCTTTTTTCTCCCCCAAGATGAAATGTGGCAACTGTGGTGAGATTTCAGAGAAGTGGCAATACATTCGACTGATGGTAACTGCTCCCCCCCTTCACTGTACCCACCCCCTACATATACATCTCTAGGCAGGGACTTGGGGAATCTGTGGCCATAACCTTGCTTTTTTGTGTGTGGTTTGGGAGGGCAAGCATTAGTGTGTTAAACAGTGGGAACAACAGGCTTCTTTGGGATGTGAGGTAGAGTTCAAAATCAAGGGGAAGCCCTTAGTTTCAAGAAGCCACCACAGGATTCTTGTCCTAGCAAGTCGTTCACCCTCTGTGGGTCTTGGTGTCTTCAATTGGATAGTAAGTCATGGGACTGAATCTCTTCAGGACCCTGCGTCTCATGTGTGACTGGAGGTTCTGTTTACTCCTTGCTAGGACAGTGTGGCACTGAAGGGAGGCCGTGGCAGCGCTTCCATGGTCCAGAAGTGCAAGCTGTGCGCAAGAGAAAACTCCATTGGTAGGTCAGGCCATGAATACTTAGCTCTGCCAGGCTAGCCCTAGCTTCCTGACACCAGACCAAAAGCAGGCTTGTGTTACCCAAGGTACCTAAGCTTCTGCAGCACTTTTTCCAAGAGCCACATCTGGGGACCAGGGGTAGGGCCAAGGTGTGGACTCAAGTCAGTTTTGTTCTGTTTTTTGTTTCAGAGATTTTGAGCAGCACCATCAGATCTTATAATGTAAGTTGCTTGCTGTGGAGGCAGGCGTGGTGGGATTACATCCAGGCTGGGGGCTACAGTTATAAGTGCTGGCCTGCAGGAGCTCAGGGGACCTCTGACCCAACCTTGCCACTCAGTTTCCATCCTTGGGAGCAGTTACCTTATCAGCATCTTAGAGGGCCTAGTGAGCCTCGTCTGAAATCATGGGTGGGACAGTCCTTTGCATGGTACATCCCATTCTTGATATTGTCCTTGTTATTAGGTAGTTATACATTACTGTACAAGTTAGTCCAAAGGTGAGGGAGGGTGTGCATGCTTTGGGTCTGTGTTTTTAAAGAAAGGCATTTAATTTATATTGATCCAGTCCTTATTTGTTGGATTTATGCCAAATTTTCAGTTTTGTCCTTATGTCAAAGAGAAATCAAATGAGGACTTGCCCTCAAGTAAATCATAACCTAGTGGAAGAGACAGACTAGCAAACAAGATACAAACCAGGGCCAACAGAGAAGTGCCAGGCATATGGCTGGTGTGCAGCAAATGCTTTTACAGTGGATGGCAGTGAATTTGTAGGCATGGTGTGGGGGGTCAGGTAGGCAGGAATTTCCTGGCTATCCCACCCTGCCCATAGGTCCCCCCCCATAAGCAAATCTCATTTCAAAGGCTTTAGGTCAACCCCTGCCTTCACAATGTAGCAGATGGTTAGCGAAAGACTGCAGCTAAGTGTGCTGGGGCTGTTTGGATGATCTGGAGGGTTTGTAGCTTAACATTCATGTTCATATTTGTGCTGCTGCTAATTTTATCTGCCATTTACTGAGCACAGTGTGGGTACTCTGCTGGGCACCTGACCCATGATTCAAGTTCTCCCAATAAACCGGTAGTGGTTTCGTCGGCTCTGTTCGGTAGTCTTAGGCCCAGAGGGGAAGAAGGGCACAGCTTGACTCACACCTAGGGAGGCTGACCCCAGAGTCCACACTCCTTATTCCATAGCATCCATGCCAAAGGTCTCACGGGGAGCAGGTGGCTAAGGCAGGCTTCTTCCAGGATGAGATGAGTTGGTCTCAAGTCCCATTCTAGGCTCACAGGAGCAGTAAGAACCTGCTTGGCAGAAAGGGTAGGGGCAATGGGGTTATCCTGAGGGCCCAGTTGGGCCTACCTCCTCAACGTACTTCCTTTGCAGGCTGAAGACAATGAGAAGTTCAAGACCATAGTAGAGTTTGAGTGCCGGGGCCTTGAACCAGTTGACTTCCAGCCCCAGGTATGTGTGTCTTCCTGGGGAACGTGCATCTTTGGGCAGAGCATCTAGAAGTGCCGGCATAACTTTGCTTCCTGCAGAGGCCATGGACCAGGAATTCTCCTTTCTAAGAGTAGTGATTATTATTATTTATTAATGCCTATTATATGTGGAGCACTGTGCCAGTCACTTATATGTTATTTAACCCTTACAGCGACCCTGTGAAGTTACTCATACCTCAGAGATTTTGCAGCTTGCCCAGAGGGACAGTTAGCAAGCAGTGGAGCTCAAATTTGAGCCCAGGTCTAGGTAACCTCAGGGCCAGTGCTCATCCCACTTCATTGGGGCAGCATTTTCACCTCACATCAAGTCTGTGAGGTAGGCAGAAGAGAGTATTGTCATTCCCATTTCAAAATAAGAAAACTAAGGTCCAGAGAAGGAAGACACACGCTCAGATGACAGATAGTTAGCAAAAGGCTCCAGCTAAGTGGACTGGGCCCACTTGGAGCATCTACAGATGCTGTAGTTTAGATTGCCTTTCACAGTCTGGGGAAGGGTTTACTCTAATCTCCTGCCTTCTGGTCCAGAGCTGTAATTGGAGGAACCACTCTAGTCCCACGGCAGCTGCCAGACTCTGGGAACTCAGGAGTCATTCCAGAACAGCTGACAAAGCTGCATCTCTGTCCTCCCTTCCCAAAGGTGTGAGAAAAGCCAAGTCCCTGACCATGCTCACATGCCAGACCAGTGCCTCCTTTCCCTCAGACTAACTGCTGCCTTCCTGTCCTTGCAGGCTGGGTTTGCTGCTGAGGGTGTGGAATCGGGGACAGTCTTCAGTGACATTAATCTGCAGGAGAAGGTACGGAACTTGGGGGCCTTGCAGGGTACTGTAGAACACCTGGTGGAAATTGCCTTTCTCGTGAACAAGGCTCATCAATGAAAAGCTGACCGCGCTTCTCTGTGCATTTTATTGATGATTTTGGTGTTTAAGGTGGCCCCCAGTGTAATGCCGAGGTTCTGTTTAGTGTTCCACACACAAGAACACTGGGATGTGCTTGCTGGAGAAAATACACATTAGATGAGCTTTGTTCAGGCATGAGTTATAATACTGTTGGCTCTGAGTTCAATTTTGATGAATGAACAGCATACTTAAAAAGTGTTTTTATTTTTTTAAAATGTTTTACTGATTATGCCATTAATTTTCTTATTTCCCCCACTTCATTCCCCTCCACCCTGCACACCTCCCCACCATTCCCCCCCTTTAGTTTATGTCGTGTCTCAAGTTCTTTAGATTCTATATTTCCCATGCTATTCTTGCCCTCCCCCCTATTTTCTACATACTGTCTATGCTACTTATTCTCTATACCTTCTCCCCCTCCCACTCCCCTGTTGGTAACCCTCCATGTGATCTCCATTTCTATGGTTCTGCTCCTGATCTAGCTGTCCTTTCACTGTTCATATTTGCTAACCCTCCATGTGATCTCCATTTCTATGGTTCCGCTCCTGATCTAGCTGTCCTTTCACTGTTCATATTTTTTATCTTCTTTTTTGAAGATAAGTCCCTTTAATATTTCATATAATAAGGGCTTGGTGATGAACTCCTTGAATTTGATCTTATCTGAGAAACACTTTATCTGCCCTTCCATTCTAAGTGAAAGCTTTGCTGGATAGAGCAATCTTGGGTGTAGGTCTTTGCCTTTCATGACTTGGAATACTTCTTTCCAGCCCCTTCTTGCCTGTAAGGTCTCTTTTGAGAAATCCACTGACAGTCTGATGGGAACTCCTTTGTAGGTGACTGTCTCCTTATCTCTTGCTGCTTCTAGAATTCTCTCCTTCATTTTAATTGGCTAATGTAATTATGATGTGCCTTGGTGTGCTCCTTCTTGGGTACAACTTCTTTGGGACTCTGAGCTTCTTGGATTTCCTGGAAGTCTATTTCCTTTGCCAGATTAGGAAAGTTCTTATTATTTGTTCAAATAAGTTTTCCACTTGTGGCTCTTCCTCTTCCCCTTCTGGTACCCCTAATATAATTTGGATGTTGGAATGTTTAAAGATGTCCTGGAGGTTCCTAAGCCTCTCCCCATTTTTTTAAATTCTTGTTTCTTCATTCTCTTCTGTTCGGTCATTTTTTTTCTTCCTTCTGGTCCACTCCCTTGATTTGAGTCCCAGTGTCCTTTCCATCACTATTGGTTTCCTGTGCATTTCCCTTCATTTCAATTAGTTTAGCCTTCATTGTTCCTCTAATTTGTGACTAAAATCAGCCAGTTCTGTGAGCATCCTGATCACCAGTGTTTTGAACTGTGCCTCTGATAGGTTGGCTATTTCTTGGTCACTTAGAGTTATTGGCTCTGGGGCTTTAAGTTCTTGAGCCATAATGTTTTGGTCTGTTCGTGCCTGTTATGTATGAGGGGCAGAGCCCTAGGTGTTCACCAGGGCAGTGCAACCCCTATCTCTGGGTTGTGATGCTGTATGTGGGGGCGGAGTCAAAGAGGGGCAATAGGGGACCCCTCTGCTGCTTCCTGCCACTGGGGCCTGCACGGTCTGTCTCACTGCTTGCTCCTCTGTCTGGTTTGTCTGCGCGTGAATGTGTGACCGCAGTCAGCGTTGTGCCCTCAGTGGGTCCGCCCATTGCTACCCCACACCTGGGATCCGCCCACAGCTGCCTGCACGCCTGGGTTGGGGGATCTTTCCTGCCCGACCCTGCTCCGCCACTGACTCCGCCCCTCTTACCGGTTTGGCTGAAGGGTTCATTGTTGTTGGACTTTCGTATAGTTTAATTTTCTGTGTTTTGGTTACCAAAACTTTGTTGTCTTTAAACTTGGTTGTGCGAGGAGGCACAATGTTTCCACCTACACCTCCATGTTGGCTGGAAGTTAAAAGGTGTTTTTAAAGAGACATACATGAAACAAGGTTAGGTATTGATTGGCTGAAGAACATGTCGTGATTAGATGCTCCTGGGAACTTAACTCTGTATTTTTCCTGGGAACATTGGCTGATCACTAATTCATTGTTTACAGTGACTTTGTAGAGCTTAATTGGCACAAATAACGAGAATCAACTGTATTACTGGATATGGTACTGCTTTGCAGATAAGGAACCTTGTGTTCACGCCTCAAAAGGAGACACAGACTTTATTTGATTTGCATAGCACATAACAATAACTGGAATCTATTGGGCTTACATGCATCCAGCACTATGCTAAATACTTTTATGTGTTAACTCATTTGCTTCTTTCAACAAGTCTTTTGTTGACCCTTAAAAAAAAAAAACAAACAGCACTGAGGACCAGAATGGGTAGGTGATTTCCTCAAATCACAAAGTTAGAAGAGCCAGAATTCAGGCCTGGGCAGCGTGTCTCTGTCCTAGGTCATACGTGTTCCTGAATGTCCAAGTCAGAGCCCGTACCAGGCCTGCTGAGACCCGGTTCTCCACCCACTATCCTGGACTGTCTTAGGAGGCTAACATTGCCACTTTTTTCCCCTGCAGGACTGGACTGACTATGATGAAAAGGCTCAGGAGTCTGTGGGAATTTACGAGGTCGCCCACCAGTTTGTGAAGTGCTGACCCCTCCACTGTCACACTTGCCTCTAAGAGCTGAGAAGGGACAGTGTGCCCCACGCAGCAGAGCCCACTGAGGCTGGTACCCTCATCCCGCATCTCCTGGCAGCTGTCCAAGCCCTCACAGTCTGCATGCTGGGCTCTGTCACAGCATCCCAAACCCCACCAATAAAGCCGTTTGTGCTGTACTCATGCATGAAGGTGGCATCAGGGAGCAGCCACTCCCTCCACAAATAAGAATTCATGTTGGAGGTCTTTTACTGCTCCTGACACCTTCCACAGTGTGGACTCTTATACCTGATCCAGTTTGCAAAATATGAAGAGCACGCAGCTAAGGGCTCTCCAGCTCGCGGGGAATGGGCAGGTTGATCCACAGAACCAAAGGTGCTGAGGCCACTGGTATGAAGCGCAGTCGAGCCTGTGGAAGGATGCCATAAACCCTGCGGCCCTGAGCCAAAACACTGCATTGATTAACCTGGCTCTTCAGAAAATGCAGGCATCTCTGTTAGCTGGTGTCGCTTCGTATTACAGGGCCAGAAGGGACTGCAGAGGTCAGTAATCTAGGCCAGGCATGAATTGCTCTATAAATAAATTCCAGCTGGGTAGTCATTAGATCTTTGTTCATTTGCTGCGATTGGTCTTCCAAGGCGGAAGTCAGTGAAAGTTCTATGCTGTCGCCCTCTATGCCCCCCGTAGCTCCTGGTCCTTGTTTGTTGCCTTTGTGGTCACACTTCTGTGTGCTTCCCCCAGACAGCTCTGTGGAGGTGTGGGGACAGCAGTCATGGGCCTGGTTCCCTGGGTCTGAAGACCCCCCACACAGTGGACAGAGTGGTTGAATGTACGTGCCGTCCCACCAGTGAGTCCACCGTTTGGAGAACCTATTGTAAGAGACCTTATTTCTCCAGTGTTCTTCAGGAGCCTGGAATTTGGAAGCAAAATTAGTATTTCATTTTCTGAATGGCCCACTAGGAGTGGGTCTGCCCACTCCCAGGATGGTTGTGGGGCACTAGGAAGGGGATCCTCCAATTTCAGGAAAAGGTGGCCATTCCAAGAGTGGTGAAGGGGCACCTACCTTATCCCCTCTCCAGTCTGGCAGCTACATCTCGTTTCCTCAGGTTTCATGTTCCTGGTTCCCTGTGGGCCTGCTCTTTTTTGTACCAGACGACAGCATTACTCAGCCCTTCCTCAGCCAGCAGGCCTTCCAGCCCCCTGCCCACTGGGTCGAGTCCCCTTCCCAGCCTGAAAGCAAACAAATGGAAGCAGCTGGCTGGGTTTCTGTACCAGCTGGTATGTGTTAAGCTCGTAAAGACACACTAAAAGGATCTCAAGGTTTTGTTTATATTTTAAATTACCTTCTCATCTTTCAGGAGGTAAAGGAGCCAAAAAAACACTAATTAAAGGGGAAAAAAATAAAGATTATGTCAATAAATGCAGAAGTATTCAGTAAAATGCAGTAACCATTCAAAAGAAACTGAACCACAGGAACCCTTTGCAAACTAAAAACAAAGGAACTTCCCTCACCTCAAAGGGTATCTACAGGAAGCCTAGAATAGGTGAGGTGTTTGAGGTGAGGATGCCCTCGGTCCCAGCTGTGCCGTGCTTGAGGGTACCCCCCCTGTGGGATAAGACAATAAAAAGGGTAAAGGACTGAAAAGGAAGAAACAACTCATTTTTCAGATTAATGTTTTCTATTTAAAAAACCCAAAAGCATGAACAAGTTCTGGATTTAAGATCAATATATAGAAATCAAATGCATTTCAATACACTAGCAACATGCAAAATATAATTTTAAAAAGTACCATTTAAAATAGGGGAAAAAAAATCCTGATCAGTGTGGCTCAGTGGCTTGGGCATTGTCCTGAAAAACAAAAGGTCACTGGTTCAATTCCCAGTCAAGGCACATGCCAGGGTTGCGGGCCAGGTCCTGGATAGGGTGTGAGAGGCAACTGATCGATGTTTCTCCCCCTTTCTCCCTCCCTCCCACCTCTCTAAAAAATTTTTTAGAAAATAATCAGCAACAAAAAATACCTCAGAAATAGAGATCAAAGTCTATCAAAGAAGTTCCTGTCTTCAATAGAAAATTATGAAACTATTGAAAGGTGTTAAAGCCTAAGTAAATGGAGACCTATACTGTTAGTAATGGGTAGGAAGACTTAATATTATAAAGATGATAATTTTCAACAAATGTATTTATATATTCCTGTCAAAATCTCAATTTTTTTAAACGATTCTGAAATCTATGACGTAACACAGGTGGGAGACTGCCTCTGCCCGACACGACACACTCAGAACAGTAGCAGTTAAGGCAGCATGGCGTGGGCACTCCGGTCCAAACAGACCCGTGTACGGACGAAGACTGGTCAGTGACAGCTGGTGTCGTGGACCAGTGGGGAAGTTATTAACTCATCCAAAAAGTGCTGGGGCAATTGCGTTACCCTTCTGCAATAGGATAGAACTGGGCCCCTCCACTCCACACACACAAGTCTGTTCCAAGGTTCACTGTTGTGCTTAGGTACTGCAGTGTGTTTGGGTAGAAGGGCCTTGGGCTCAGTGTCTGACTTACTGCGACCCTTTGGGCAAGTACTTTTCCTCTCAGGACCCTATTTTCTCCATGTAAAAATGAATGCACTTTAGCTCTGACATTGGTCCTCAATGAGGTTAGTCAAAACAGTTCTGGCATGTCTTCTGAGCCTGGCCCCTCAGCAGGAAATCTAGTTCCCTGCCCCACACTTTAGGACAGCAGTCTCTTGTCTAGTAGTAGCAGAAGGCAGAGCTGCTAGAGGTGGGGACAGTGGATGAACATACTTTACCTATATCGCTACAGCTCATTCCATCCCCGTGTTAACAGGAATTACCCTGTCTTACAGAACTCACAGTCTAGAGAGGCAAAATAACTTGTGGTCACAAAGTGAGGACCTGGCAGAATGAGGATGCCAGGAATTCAGGTGTCCCTGATCATCATTCATGAGTGAAAGCAGCGTTGGTTCTGTGTGCGCTGGTAGTCCTTGCACGTCTGATAAAACCACAGAATACAGTGGACCTGGTACCTGCTGGTTACTCATTCACTAATCACCAAGTGAAGAATGGGTGGAGTCGGGTAAGGGGACATGCAGGCGTGTTTACTTGAACTGTATGGAGGACTGAATGAGACAGTGCATTGGAAGTGCTTGGTGACTGGCTCACACCAGAATTCAAATCCCAGCCGTATAGTAACTCACTGGGCAAGGCACTGGGAATGCAGGTAAAATTAAACACCCACAATACCTTTTCCTTCTCAAAAAATAACAACACCCTTCCTTTCATGTTACAGCAGTCTTCTAACAGTAAATTGTTAAAATTCTATGGTCATATCACTCAATGGACAAGTTTCAAGTGCAAAATACACAAAGTGATCACTTCTGCATTAGGCCATAATTAGCATGTAAGATTCAAACTGGTTTAAATAAACACGTACTAATTATAAATCTTCATTTGGCTGGAAGAATAGTAAAATACAAATCCCTAAATCCATGGGAATAACTTTTACTGCAGCAGGACTATCCAAATCAAGCATCAGCAATTCATTCAGAAAAATGAAGAGGATTTTTAAAGAGGATGTCCCAGCACAAAGCAGCAAATGCATAGGGAACATGAAACAGCGTCTCCCACTGTCACCAGAAGAGCCAGGAGACAATGGGAATATCCCTGAGCTTATTAAATTTACTGTTGCAAAGTTCTTTGGAGAGATTAGGAAATTAGGTTAAAAAAAAAAAAAGGAACCATCTCTAGGCAACAATTAAATTTTATTTCTGCTTCAACAATAAATACCCTGAGTTATTTTTCCAAATCCTACCTCCTGACCAAATGCCCTTAAAATTTAAATCTCATATCATTTTTAATTGGGATCTAATCCACTTAGAAATTACATGTTTAACTTTAAAACCACAAGACTTGAATGCACAGGCACCTCATGATTAGTTTCATTAGTCACAGAAGAGCACCTATTGGCTACAGGGGCCTCAATTTTCATGTTGATGAAGCAATAGAGGTTTTTAACCTGCCCAGAAGCTAAGTTTTGATGGATTTACCTTCCATGGCATCAAACATGTCCTCTAAGGCCTTGTGTACACACTGGAGAAACTCCCTGGCATTGCGGCCTGGGTAACAGGAGACATTGCAGCCTATCCAGTTGTCATGAACAGCATACCCAATGCCAAAGCCATCAGGGACCACTGGGGCAAAGCCACCAATGTTCACTGCTGGGCTGGTCAGCGTGCTTGTGGACAGGATATTGTGGTTTATCTGCCCATATGCAGGGTCCAGGTATAGCTCAGGCAGGGCAACCCCTTTGGCTGCTGCCAGGTACCGCAGAGCAAATAAGTGTCGGTCAAAGCCCTGACCTGTAAGAGACAAAACAAAAAAGTCTCAGAATTGCAGAACTGAAAGGAACCTAGCCAAACCTCCCACCCACGTAGAAGTCCCCTTCACAGCCTCCTGGAGAATAGAAGGGTCTGTCTACCTCTGCATGCACACTTCTAGCTCACTAACCTCTAAAGCAGCTCATTCTAGAATATTTTTTTAAGGAAAACCTGTCAATAACTGAGTTAAAAATGAGCCTCAAATGATTCCAAGTCTGTAACCAGAATTTCCAGCCGAGATGGAGGCATAAGCAGACACACTGTGCCTCCTCATGGGACCAAAATAAGGACAACAATTTAGAAACAAAAAACAACCAGTACCAACAGAAAACTGGACTGTATGGAAGTCCGACAACCAAGGAGTTAAAGTAGACACATTTCTGCAGACCTGTAGGAGGGGCGGAGTCAGGCAGCTGGGTGGAGAGGGGTCACGGCAAAGCAGTGGCTGGCAGACCAGACCGTGGCATGCAAGGCAGCAGCTGGTAGATCCAGCAAGAAGGCGGATTGTGGAGGGGCACAGCACACAAGATGGCTGGTGAACCAACAGTCCCACATTCATGTGCAGATAAACCAGGGGAAACTGGGAAGCAAGACAGACGATGCAACCCAGGGTCCCAGCTCAGGGAAATAAAGACTCAAAACACAGATTGAAAACACCTGTGGGGGGTTGCAGTGCTGGGAGTGGTTCCCAGCCTCACAGGAGACTTCGTTGGAGAGACCTTCAGGGTTCTAGAACCCATCCACCCAGGAATCAGCACCAGAAGGGCCCAATTTGCTTGGAGGGAAGCAGCAGAAGGGATTGAAATCCAGCAGAGAGCAGAGCAAGCACCATTGTTCCCTCTCAGACCCCGCCCCCACAACCAGCATCAACCCAGCCACGTGGGTTGCCCCACCCTGGTGAACACCTAAGGCTCCGCCCTCATACCTAAACAGGTGAGACAAGACAGAAAAAAAAAAAAATGGCCCAAACGAAAGAACAGATCAAAGCTCCAGAAAAAATACAACAAAGCAACGAAGAGATAGCCAACCTATCAGATGCACAGTTCAAAACACTGGTAATCAGGACACTCTCAGAATTGATTGAATTTGGCCACAAATTAAAATGAAAAAAAGCTACGTTAAGTGAAATAAAGGAAAATGTATAGGGAACCAATAGTGATGGGAAGAAAACTGGGGCTGAAATCAATGGAGTGGACCAGAAGGAAGAAAGAAACATCCATTCAGAAAAGAATGAAGGAACAAGTATTCAAAAAAATGAGGAGAGGCTTAGGAACCTCCAGCACATCTTTAAACATTCCAACATCCGAATTGTTAGGGGTACCAGAAGAAGAGGAAAAGCAACAAGGGGAAAAGTTATTTGAACAAATAATAAAGGAGAACTTCCCTATTCTGGCAAAGGAAATAGACTTCTAAGAAGTCCAGGAAGCTCAGAGAGTCCCCAAGAAGTTGAACCCAAGGAGGAACACACCAAGGCACAGAATAATTACCTTAGCCAAGATTAAAGATAAGGAGAGAATCCTAGAAGTAGCAAGAGATAAGGGGACAGTCCCCTACAAAGGAGTTCCCATCAGACTGTCAGCAGATTTCTCAAAAGAGACCTTACAGGCAAGAAGGGGCTGGAAAGAAGTATTCCAAGTCATGAAATCCAAAGACCTACATCCGAGATTGCTCTATCCAGCAAAGCTTTCATTTAGAATGGAAGGGCAGATAAAGTGCTTTTCAGATAAGGTCAAGTTAAAGGAGTTCATTATCACCAAGCCCTTATTATATGAAATATTAAAGGGACTTATCTAAGAAAAAGATAAAAAACATGTATAGTAAAATGACAGCAAACTCACAATTACTAACAACCACACCTAAAACAAAAACAAACTAAGCAAACAACTAGAACAGAAACAGAACCATAGAAATGGGGATCAAATGGAGGGTTAGCAACAGGGGAGTGGAAGGAGGAGAGAGGGGGAGAAGGTACAGAGAATAAATAGCATAGATGGTAGGTAGAAAATAGACAGGAGGAGGGTAAGAATAATATGGGAAATGTAGAAGCCAAAGAACTTATAAGTATGACCCATGGACATGAACTAAAGGGGGGGAATGTGGGTGGGAGGGGGTGTGCAGGGTAGAGGGGAGTGAAGGGAGGAAAATGGGGCAACTGTAATAGCATAACTGATAAAATATATTTTAAAAACAAAAATGGGATTTTATATATAAAAAAATAAAAAGTCTGAAACTAAGTCAATTTAGTAAAACACTCAAAATTATGTGAAGGGAGCTCCGGACTCAAAAACTAAGATAAAATGCAAAGTCCAAGTCAAGTGTAAAAGACAACAATGAGTCAGTGGGACAAACTGGAAAGGGTTCTAATTTCACCTTACTGCTCATTTTCTACGGAATCCTGTGCCTCTGGCCTTGGCTGCCCACCTATAAAATGGAGAAGGATGAGATCAGACATCTCTTTTAGTGCCAGGACTTTTGGCTGCATGAAAGGATTGGACTACATGACCCTCCAGGTCCTTTCCAGGTCTCAGATTTTGGCACAAAGAGACAAAGAAGGATGATACTTCAGTTCAAAAGAGCTGCTGAGATGACCTATTTACAGGGAGTCAACACAGTGCATCAGAAGTGAAGAGGGTCTGCACGATTAGAAATCCGAAGTTATCAAAACTGAGTCTAATGGCCAATACATAGAGAACCATGTGTTACAGGTGAAGGTGGCCTTCAATGAGGATAGTTAGATGCATTTCCTCATCCCTGCTTAGGAGAGAGCAGTCTGATCTCTAGTGTCTTGTCTGGCTGTTGAGATTATAAGGGTAGAAAAAAGCAATCACTCGAGAGCTGGCAGACAGATTAAACCTAGGGCAGGGGTGGAAATCAGATGTGAAGTGGAGCATTACTGAGGTCTACCCCAGTGCTGAAGGCAACAAGACCCAAGGTCATGCTCCCCACCCCCGTCTCACCCATGGCTGCTTCTCTGGTCAGCTGGCCATGGTACTTGGAGCACTCGGCCATCATCTGCTGAAGCTCTCCAGCGCTGTGCTTGGAGGGCTCCCTGACGAAAGCCTCAGAGCACCTCTTCGTGAAGATGGAGGCAGGGCGGATGGTCTCAGTGCGACCATGCTTAAATGCTGCGGTGCTGCAGGACTCATAGGTGGCCACCGTCTTGCCATATTGCCGAAAAAAGGCCATCTGGAAGGCCAGCTGGGCCACTGAGTCAGGGCTCAGCTTCTGCTTCTTCAAGAATTCTTTCCCTCCTCTCTGAAACTGGATGAAATCAATGGTGAGGGTTTTCATGGTGGCATCGAACTTCTCCTTGGCAGCACTGATGCCAGTCTTTAAGGCATCATTCAGCCTGAACTGGAGTTTCTGCACCGCCACAGAAGAGTCGGTGCTGGCTGGCTGGCCCTGCGGGGTGATGGCCGGGGCCTGAGTGCTATCTTTAAACACTTCATTGAGAAGCCTGAGCACTGCGACACCATCGCCCCAAGCATGCTCAAAGTGGACAGCGGCAGTGCCGTCCTTGGCTATAATGAGGTTAAAGGATTTGTCAAACCAGCGGTTTGTGCCATCACCATGCAACATGTTGTGGGACAAATGGACAAGGTCCTTAATGGGGAAGTCATCCAGGCAGAGGCAGAACGCAGCAGAGTCCACCTTCCTCAGGGCCTCCTCGTTGCCGCCACTCTCTAGCTTCTGTCTGAGCTCTGCCCACACATCTCGGTTCTCACTGGTCAGATACGCCAGTGGGAACTCAGGGGCAGGGCTATTGTCTGAGAGAATGTACTTCAGATGGGCCTGGATTTCAGAGGCACTCACAATGTTCCCATCCTGATCCAGGACATCAAAGACGTAGAAATTTCCTTTTCTCAGGACCAGGAGGTGCCTGGCCTTGTCATCAGTGACGAGTTCATCCCGACTAGGTCTAGGTAAACGAGTTGAATTGAAAAGCCGAAAATACTGGGACATATCCAGTGGATATGCATTGACCAAATAGGCACCATACCAAGACAGAGAGGAAGGCACAAAGCGTATGAGTCTCTTGAAGGTATCAGTGTCACTTTTGACAGGGTTCAAGTGAAACACTTCCGGCTCCAAAAGGCCGGCCCGGAGTGTCTTCATAAACCGGAGGGCAGACACAGTCATGTTGGTCGCTCGGGTGAGCTGGTCATTATACTCAGACTTCGGGTCAGGGTTGAATGCCATAAACGGGTTAAAGTTCAGGACAATGGAGTCTCGAGCAGTTAAGTACATATCAAACCAGGGGCCTAAAATATATAAATAAAAAAGAACAACATAAAAAGTTAATGTAGTCCCTAAAAATATAATTTGAGAAAGAAAAAAATCAGGCATATGCAAAAGTAATGACAACCTCCAGTGGGAGGAATTTCCTGATTATTTTTCTGCTCTGTAATAATTCATGTTATATAAACAGGATCATATACAATGTGGTATTTAACATATGGCTTCTATCACTTATATTTCCATGTTGTAGCATGTATCAGTTCTTCATTTCTTTTCATTGCTGAATAATGCTCCAATATATAAATATAGCACATTTTGTTTATCCATTCATCAGCTGATGGATATTTGATTGTTTCATTTTTGGTTATTGAGAATGATGCTGGTATGTACAAGTTCTGTGTGGATATATGTTCCAAATTCCCTTGGGGGTATATTAATAGCTAGGAGTGAAACTGGTGGGTCGAGGTAAGTGTGTGTTTAACGTTTGAGGGGCTGCACCACCACCACCACCAGCAGGGGGCGGGGGTCGGTCTCCCCACATCCTTGGCAGTGTCTGTTATTGTCTGGCTTTTTCATGGAGCCACTCTAGTGAGTAGCCATCACTGCGGTTTTGATTCACATTTCCCTAATGTTTGTTAACTGCATTTTCTTCCTCATTTTGTTTTCCTTCTTGGCTCCTAAATGAATAAAATACAATAACACCCTCATGCTAGAACAGAGTAGTTGTTAATTCCCACCCCATCTCCGTAGGGTTCTGTCCAGAGCCAACAGCCATCCCTTGACACAGTCGGGACGGATGAGATGCATCTGCACAGCAGAGGCACTGTGACTGGAATTCCTGTCTATCTCTCCCTGCATGTCTGTCTTTGCAATTAATAGGTGGTGGGATTTTTTAGACACCTATATTTCAGGTCCAATGATCTGCAGAATTCCAATGAAGTTGTACAAAATGATTTCTTGGCCATAGAACAAAAGTCCCCCCTAATGGGGTAGCCCCTGAATGTCTAAATGTTGAGTAACAGCCCCTCCTCTACCTTGGACAGGAATATATATTCATGAATTAGGTAAAGAAGCAGGAAATGCTAGTTAACTATTATAAACTGAGCGCGTAGAAACAATTGCTAAGGAGTTAGAGTTCAAAGTACATAAAATAAGATTCAAGACAAGAAGATAGATAGCTAAGTTAGACACTACAAAGGCCTTGTAATAAATTTCCTATAACTACTGTTCAGTCTAGCATATCCTTTTGACCCATGCCAAATTCTAAGAACTTTAATAAATATCTATTCATCAATAAGACATTTAAAACCTCTGTACAGGACTTCCGCCAAGATGGAGGCACAGGTGGAGACTCCGTGCTTCCTCACACAACCAAGTTTAGAGATAACTAAATAATAGCAACAGAAAACACAGCCAGAACACAGAAAATTGAACTTTTCGGAAGTCTGATAACAACAAATTCTTCAGCCTGACCGGTAAGAGGGGCGAAACCAGCAGCTGGCAGAGTGGGGTAGCACAGGAAAACTTGGTCAGACAGACTCAGGCGCGGAATCCAGGCGCAGGGTTGGACCTAGTGAGCAACACAGCGAGCGACCATGGGGAAACAGCAAGGGAGCAGGGATGCGGGTTGACTGTGGTCGCGCATTCGTGTGTGTGGATAGACAAGCGAGGGAGTGGGCGACTGGACGAGAGCCAGCAGCCCCAGCGCCGAGGGGCAGCAGAGGGCACCACAATTTCCCCGCTCTAACCCCGCCTCCACATACAGCGTCATAACCCAGCGACTCCGAGTGGCCCAGCCCTGGTGAACCACCTAAGGCTCTGCACTTCACGCAGCTGCGAGAAACAGCAGAGGGGGCCGCCATTTCTCCACTCTGACCCCACCTCCACATACTGCGTCACAACCCAGCGACCTGGGAGTCCAAGGCTCCGCTCCTCACACTTAACGGGTGCAAACAGACCAAAAATGGCTCAAGAAGATCTCAAAGCCCCAGAGCCTATAAATCTAAGCGATGAAGAAATAGCAAAACTCTCAGACGCACAGTTTAAAACACTGGTGATCAGGATGCTCACGGAACTGGTTGATTATAGCCACAAATTAGACAAATATATGAAGGCGAAACTAACTGAAATGAATGGAATTGCACAGGAAACCAATAGCGATGAAAAGGAAACTGGGACTCAATGGAGTGGACCAGAAGAAAGCAAATAATGGCCAAACAGAAAAGAGTGAAGAAGCAAGAATTCAAAGAAATGAGGAGAGTCTTAGGAACCTCCAGGACATCTTTAAATGCTCCAACATCCGAATTATAGGGGTACCAGAAGAGGGAAAGGAACAGCCACCATAAGTTTTCAAATAAGTGGAAAACTTATTTGAACAAATAATAAAGGAGAACTTCCCCATTCTGGCAAAGGAAATAGACTTCCAGGAAATCCAGGAAGCTCAAAGAGAGTCCCAAAGAAGTTGGACCCAAGAAGGAACACACCAAGGCACATCATAATTACATTAGCCAAGATTAAAATGAAGGAGAGAATCCTAGAAGCAGCAAGAGATAAGGGGACAGTCACCTACAAAGGAGTCCCCATCAGACTGTCAGCAGATTTCTCAAAAGAGACCTTACAGGCAAGAAGGGGCTGGAAAGAGGTATTCCAAGTCATGAAATCCAAAGACCTACAACCAAGATTGCTCTATCCAGAAAAACTTTCATTTAGAATGGAAGGACAGATAAAGTGCTTCTCAGATAAGATCAAATTCAAGGAGTTCATCATCACCAAGCCCTTATTATATGAAATGTTAAAGGGACTTATCTAAGAAAAAGAAGTTAAAGAAACATGAACAGTGAAAGGACAGCAAACTCACAGTTATTAACAACCACACCTAAAACAAAAGCAAACTAAAAGGACAGCTAGATCAGGAGTGGAAACATAGAAATGAAGATCTCAAGGAGGGTTAGCAACAGGGGAGTGGGAGGAGGAGAAGGGGGGAGAAGGTACAGAAAATAAGTAGCATAGACAGTAGATAGAAAATAGATGGGGGGGCAAGAATAGCATGGGAAATATAGAATCTAAAGAACTTGAGACACATGGTCATAAACTAAAGGGGGGGTAATGGTGGGGACGGGGGGGTAGGGTGGAAGGGAATGAAGGGGGAATAGAACAATTGTAACAGCATAATCAATCAATCAATCAATCAATAAAAAATAAAACCTCTGTACATACAGCTATTTCTGTACATACAGCGACTCCCAGGTCGCTGGGTTGTGACACTGTATGTGGGGGCGTGGTCAGAGCGGGGAAATGGCGGCACCCTCTGCTGTCTCGTGCCGCTGGGTGAGGAGCGGAGACCCAGGTGGTTCACCTGGGCCGGGCCACTCAGAGTCGCTGGGTTATGACGCTGTATGTGGAGGTGGGGTCAGAGCAGGGAAATGGCAGCGCCCTCCCTGCCGCTTTCCATAAGACCGGCTGGGTCCCGGTCCAATCGCCCACTCCCTCGCTTGTCTATCCGCGCACCAATGCGGGACCACAGTCAATCCGCAGCCCTGCTCCCTGGCTGTTTCCCCAAGGTCGCTGGGTCTTTCACTAGATCCAACTCTGTGCCTGGGTTCCGCGTGCCTGAGTCCATCTGACAGAGTTTTCCTGTGCAACTCCGCTCCACCAGCTGCTGGTTTCACCCCTTACCGGTCAGGCTGAAGAATTTGTTGTTAACAGACTTCCGAAAAGTTCAATATTCTGTGTTCTGGCTGTGTTTACTGTTGCTAATATTTAGTTATCTCTAAACTTGGTTGTGTGAGAAGGCACGGCACATCCACCTATGCCTCCATCTTGGTGGAAGTCCCATACAGCTATTTCTAATTGTCTGATTAACGGTTCTCCTGATCAAAACAACTTTTGTTTAACATAACTGAAACTATGGGAATTCTTGTACTTTTCCTGGTTACCTCTGTATTGATTTTTTCTGCTTAACTGATCATGCCATACACCTGTTTCCTTTAATGTTATGCAACAATCTCTATAAAAATAAAGCTTAAATCAAACTCTGGGAGTTCTGTCAGACCCACAGAGGCTGGCTGTTCTCTGGCATCCAATCGGGTGTCTGACTCTTCATTTGTCGCCTGCACCGTCCATCCTTTGGGACCCTGAGACCTGCTGAGGCTGGACCCCGGCAGGGTTCCCTTGCTCTGTCTGCTTTCAGGGACAACATTCACACTCGACTGTCTCCCAAACACAGAGGTAAAGTCTTCGTCACTGTTCTGTGTCCTATGTACATTTGCACACTCCCTTTTTTAGGAAATGCTCAAAACACAATTAGAGGTAACTATGAATGTGTGGACCACTCAAAGTAGCTCTCTGCACTCCGGTGGATGTTTTCTTGTAAAAACACCAGACGCAGTGTTTTATCAGAAAATGTGTCTTCAAGGGAAGTCCCTGCTGGGATTAGCAAGCATGGGTGAACTCTGCTATTAAAGGCCGCTTTCCATTGGAGTAAATAATTTTCACATGTAAAGCACTGGGGAAAGGATTAATAAACACAAAATTTATTATTCATTTGTCAGGCCACTTTACCACTTCATTCTGTGAGAAGCAGGCCCTGGTCTAGGGAATACAGAGAGGAATAGGACATGGACTTTGATTTGAAGGATCAATGATGTAGGAGACAAACAAAATTAAACAGAATGAAATGCACTACAATGGTAAGAGAGAAGACATACTAAGGAGCAGGTGTGTGAAATGCATTTGCTGGAAAAGACATGAATTTATGCCTCTGATCCCTTCAGTAAAATAATTTTAAAAAGACAAAAACCAATAAGGCAAAGAGAATGAAAGAAGAGAATAGCAAACATTAGAAGTTGAAAAGCATTCAGACCATTGGTAATGACTAAAGCAGACTCAAGAAAGCCAACCTTAAGCCAAGAGCAGAGAATGACAAGAAATAACATGCTCTGCAGAATGCCCAGGGGGCTCAAGAACTGGCAGCCTATACGTCTGGTTGGAAGGTTATTTAATTAGACTCCTACCTCCCAGATACTCTTCCCACTCCAGTAGAAGACTTAAGTTTTATTCTCTGGAGAAAGTAAAATTCTGGGATACAAATCTCAGTTGAGATCTCAAGCTTCTTCCCACTTTGACAACACTGGTGACCAGGAAAATATCTTTTGGCAGTTTTCTGGAAAAGCCTTCCTGGGAGCCTAACCCCCAGGCACCAACCTAAGGGGCACCAGAGGAACTGGCTGGGCCAGATCCCATTACAGTGAAGCTGGGACTGACAACCCCACCCTCGACCACAGAGCTTATGGCTGCTTTTTAATATCTCATTCATCTCTAAAACAACAGAAGAGGATTATCAGGCATCGGAAAAAGAGGGCAACACAAACAGGAAAAAAGCAACTACAGACAACAAGAAAGGTGGAAACTTAAAAGATTCCCAGATAAACTATTAAGGACATAGAAAGCTAAACATAAGAAAGTATAAACTAACAATTAACTTCAGAAAAAACAAAAAGTTCACATGGGAAAGAAAAAACAACCCCAGCGTGCTACAAGACTCAGCTGACAACAGCATTTACATGATTATAACAGTGTAAATACTAAGTACTAAGCTGACCAAAATTACAAATAATTACACTGTGAAAATGAGGGTATAGGGAATGGGCATGTACAATTGTGGATATATAGACAACGCCCAAAACAAAGTTAAAATGCAGTAATATAGGTATACAATTTAGAGAATGGGGATCCTTATCAAAAGGAGAAACACATCAAGACACATAATTAAGTTACCGAAGATTAAAGAAAAGGACAGAATCTTAAAAGCAGCAAGAGAAAAGGAGACAGTTACCTACAAAGGAATTCCCATAAAACTATCAGCTGATTTCTCAAAGGAAATCTTACAGGCAAGAAGGGGCTGGAAAGAGGTATTCCAAGTCATGAAAGGCAAGGACCTACATCCAAGATTGCTCTATCCAGCAAAGCTGTCATTTAGAATGGAAGGGCAGATAAAGTGCTTCCCAGATAAGGTCAAGTTAAAGGAGATCATCATCACCAAACCCTTATTATATGAAATGTTAAAGGAACTTATCAAGAAAAACTATGAATAGTAAAATGACAATAAATTCACAACTATCAACAACTGTACCTAAAAAACAAAACTAAGCAAACGACTAGAACAGGAACAGAATCAGAGAAATGGACATCACATGGAGGGTTATCAGTGGGGAGCAGTGGGGGGAGAACAGGGGAAAAGGTACAGACAGGGAATATGAAGCATAAATAAGCACAAAATAGACAGGGGGCATTAAGAACAGTGTAGAAAATGGAGAAGTCAAAGAACTTATATGTACAACCCATGGACATGAACTAAGGCGGGGGAGATTGCTGGTGGGACAAGGGGTGCTGGGAGGAGGGGAAGAAAGAAGAGAAAGAAATGGGACAACTTTAATAGCATAATCAATAAAATATACTTTAAAAAAATCAGTCTACTTTTTTTTCCATTAAGCACATAATTGGCATAAAACAAAATACTAGTTTCAGACGTACCCTATGATGATTCCATATTTATGTTTATTGTGATACTGTGAAATGATCACCACAGTAAGTTAGTCCATTCCCATACATAGTTACAAAATCAATTTTCTTATGATGAGAATTTTTAGAATCTGCACTCTGAGCAACTTTCCAATACAGTATATGAACTGCAGTCACCGTGTTGTGCCTGACGTCCTCTGACTGACTCACTGTGCAACTGGACGTTCGTACCTTTTGACCGCCTTTGGCAATCACCCTACCGGAGTCTTGAAGGAAGAATTTCCCAGGTAAAAAATGGCAGTGGAAGCAACATGAACAAAGGCATGAAAGAATTGATGGGCTAAGGGAACGAGTTGTTCCGCTCTGTTGAAGCATGAAGTGTGGCAGAGAGAACAGTAAGAGAAAAGACTGGAGAGGCCAGACTGTGAAGGACCTAGAACGATACACATGGGACTTAATCCTGCATCCTTTTCACACAGAACCAATGATTAGTTCTATCTTGACCCCACCTACAGAAGAAGCAAGCCGTTGATCTTGAGCATGAACTCCAGCCTCAACATTTACCTCGGGGAGAGAGAATGACACATTATTTCAGTGCAGTCCCACCAAAGATACTTTTAAGACCAAACAGGAGAGGGCTGCCTTACTTTCAGTTACAGAGGGCTCGGGGCAAAGCTGTGCCCGCAGCCCGGCCTACCTACCTGAAATGTAGCTCGTGTGTTTATTCTGCTTGTCCTGAGCAACCAGCTGCTTGTGCAGTTCTTGGCCGATCCCATTTTCAAAACTCTTGCAAAATTCTTCTGTTTTCCTGAAATGTTCAGGAAAAGACAGAATCAAATAATGGCAGAAAATACATGATTTTTAGATTCATGACCAAAATCTCATACACAGAACTTTGAGTCCCCAGTAGTGTATCCCTAGAACCTAGGACTGAGATTGGAAAGTACTCTAATCAGAAGTACAAGAATAAATCCAAAATGAATAAATCTAGGATATCTTTTTTTTTATCCTCACCTGAGGACATGCTTACTGATTTTTAGAGAGGGGACTAGAGAGAAACAGAGAAACATCGAGGTGAGCAAGAAATATCAATCAGCTGCCTCTCATACGCGCCTCAACCAGGGACCGAACGGGGACCTTTCGGTTCATAGGATGACGCTCCAACCACCAGAGCCACCCAGGCCAAGGCTACCGTATCTTCTGTAAATGACTGACTGGGGGGTTCCGGCCAAGATGGAGGTGTAGGTAGAAACCCTTCACTTCCTCACACAACCAAAAGGAGAAAAACAACCAATCTAAAATTAATAAATGATCAGAAGTGCCAGAAAATCAAACTGCATGGAACTCCGACAGCCACAGAATAATTAAAGAAACATTCAACCAGAACAACCAGACCAGTAAAATGGGCCAACAGAAACTGCGGTGATGCCGTGGGCTGGACAGGAGGGGCTGACTTATGGGGAAACTGAGACTCAGAGCTGATTGTGGACTGTGGCAATTGCCGTGGTGGGAGAAACTCCCAGTCTCACATGAGAAAGTGCACTAGAGCCAAACAGGCGAGCTGCATTGTTCTTGCTGGCCCCTCTCCCACAGGCAGCAAGGAATACCTTGCTGCCCAGGTGAATACCTAAGGCCCTGCCCCCTTATAACTTATCAGGGGCCCCAAGCAAAGAAACAGGGCCAAAATGAAAGAACAGAGCAAATCTTCAGAGAGCTAAGCAATGAGGAGATAGCCAACCTATCTGATGGAGAATTTAAAGCCCTGATAATCAAAATGCTCACAGAACTGATTGAGCTTGGTCAAAAAATGAAAGATACCCAAAATAAAATAAAGCAACATATTCAGGCAACCAACAGTGACAGGAAAGAAACCAGGACTCAAAGCAACGATTTGGAACAAAAGGAAGAAATAAACATCCAACAGGAACAGAACGAAGAAACAAGAATCCAAAAAAATGAAGAGAGGCTGAGGATTCTCTGGGACAACCTGAAACGTTCCAATATCCGAATTATGGGGGGTGCCAGAAGGAAAAGAACAACAGCAAGAAATTGAAAACTTATTTGAACAAATAATGAACGAAAACTTCCCCATCGGGTGAAGGAAATAGACTTCTAGGAAGTTCAGGGAGCCCAGAGAGTCCCAAAGAAGTTGGATCCAAAGAGGAACACACCAAGGCACATCATGATTGAGTTACCCAAGATTAAAGATAAAGAGAATTTTAAAAGAAGCAAGAGGAAAGGAGAGAGTTACCTACAAAGGAGTTCCTATAAGGCTATCAGCTGATTTCTCAAAAAGAAACCTTACAGCCAAGAAGGGGCTGGAAAGAAATATTCCAAGTCATGAAAGGCAAGGAAGGGCCTACGACCAAGATTGCTCTACCCAGCAAAGCTTTCATTTAGAATGGAAGGGCAGATAAAGTGCTTTCCAGATAAAGTCAAGTTAAAGGAGTTCATAATCATCAAGCCCTTATTATATGAAATGTTAAAGGGACTTATCTAAGAAAAAGATCAAAACTATGAACAGTAACATGACAACAAATTCACAACTATCAATAAATGAACCTAAAAAAATAAAAGAAAGAAAAACAATAAAAACAAAACCAAGCAAACAACTAGAACAGGAACAGAATCAGAGAAATGGACATCACATGGAGGGTTTCCAGGGGGGAGGGGGAGGGGAAGAATGGGAGGAAAAGGTACAGAGAATCGGCATAATTACTAGGCATAAAATAGACAGGGAGAGATAAAAATGGTATAGAAAACAGGACTCAAAGAACTTATATGTACAACTCATGGACATGAACTAAGGGGGAGGGGGAATGCTGGAGGGTTGGGGGGTGGAGCGGGGATAAAGGGGGAAAATTTGGGAAAACAGCAATAGCTTAATCAATAAAATGTAATTTAAAAAACATAACTAAAAAATAAATGACTGACTGGGAAAATCCATCAACATCACATGAAATTATCTGTAACCTGGAGGCAGGCAGGGGGGCATGGAGAAAAGGATGTAAGCTTTGGAGTCCAAAAGAGCCAAGTTTGAAATCTAGCTCCGTCACTTTCAAACTGTGGCACCTTAAACAAGTTACTTGGTCTGAGTTTCAGTTTCTTCGTGCATAAAACAGAGATCATACACCACCTTACAAGATGAAAAAATACTTATAAAGCTACAGATTTTAGACAGTGTGAAATATTTAATAACTGGTAGCTGTTAAACTATCGCCATATCAACAGAAGTTTCGAGAGACTAATAAGGAATATTTATAAGTAGAGGGCTAGATTATGAACAGTTCATCTATGTTTTTCCATCACTGTCCAGTGAAGGCTTCTGTGGTTTTAATGACAATGCCAGCTACCTGCACAAACAATCCCCGTCACAGAAAGGCTCTACACTAGGATGTAAGAGCTTAACGCGATCCATTTTTTGACAATATCCAGTATTATTTTCCAATTCCATGCTTCATTAGTTTCCTACAATAACAACATACCACGAACTGGAGAGCTGAAAATAACAATTTACTCTCTCACAGGTCTGGAGGCTGGAAGTACAAAATCAAGGTACTGACTGTATCATTCTCTCTGAAGACTCTAGAAAAGCTCCGCTTGCCTTTGTCTTAGCTTCTGTCATCTCCCAGCTATCCTTGGCATTCCTCGGCTTGCTGATGTATTGCGATCTCTACCTTCATCATCACATGGCTGTGTTTCTCCTTTTCTCATAAGGACACCAGTCACATTGGATTAAGGACACACCCTACTCCAGTATCATCTCACTTTAGCTGATTACACCTGTAGCGACCTCACTTGTAAATAAGCTCATGTACTGGGGTTCTGAAAAGAACATGAATTTGGGGGGCGCATTGTCCAACCCAGCACACGTGCTCACCAAGCAAATTTCTAGTCTGCGATATGCTCTCCTCAATGGATCTCCTCACCAGGAGCACATACCTTGCACAAAGGGCCAGTACCAGCAAGCCTCCCAGGTACGTCTGCCAAGATACAGTGCAAATTTGGCATTCTGGCTTATAAAACATCACCTGTTGAGTCTCGTTAGAGAGACCTGGTTAGCCCTTCATGAATAAAAATATTTATTTCCTGAATTTACAAATGTAGAGATTAGTCCCAGGTCCCTGGAAACCCAATCAAATTGCAGATTCTTCCTGAAGCACAGTTCACCATTACTTGCCAGCTTCTCTTGAGCCACCCAACCACGGTCATTCAGGGTTCTCAGCATTTACCTGAACTGCCCATCATCCAAGAGAGGCTTCTGCGCACTGAGGTATCTCCTAATTGTGTCTTCAAGTTTGGGAATAGGCAGCCTGAGGAGAAAGCAAGGTCAATATAGGCTGACAATATGTGAAACAGGTTAATTAGCTTCACAACCCAAACTAATAAACTAATTACTGGATAATTTCCTTCCAAAAAAAAAAACCCAACAATGGGAAGCCACAGACAAATCAGAGATGACAGGTTTACTAATGTAAGTATCAAGGGTAACTTTTAAAAATTTTTAAGTGCATTTTATATTCTTAGGTAAAATAATTTTAATGTATTAGTAATGAATTTCATAAGCTAAATTAATATATATGGGGTCTATCCAGGAAAAGTCCAGCCATTGCTAATATAACAAGAATGGTTTGCGTGACATCAGTGTAACCTGGCAGCCAAGGACAGTGGACTAGAATGCATATGCACGAACAATGATGACTTCACTGTACTAGTCAGCCCCCTTCACTGGGGGCTGTTGAGTGAGCATGTGCACTGTGTGGCTGTCACGTTAAAAATGAGTGAATGAAGCAATGAATTGGCATCAAAGTTTGCATTAAGCTTGAACATTCCTCCGTAGAAACTATTTGGATGATTCAGGCTTTTGAGGATGATGCACTCAGTGCAGCATAAACAAAAGTATAGCACGAATGCTTCAAAGATGGTTGAGAATATGTTAAAAGTGATCCATGTCCTAGAAGGCCTGCCACAAGAACACCTGAGAATGTTGAATGTGTACGGCTGTAATCAACAAAGATGGGTGACTGACAGTCTAAGAACTAGAAGCTGATCTGGGGATTCCAAAAACTACTGTGTCTGAGATTTTGACACGGGATCTTGGCATGAAATGTGTTGTGGCAAAATTCATTCCACAGCTTCTGCTACCAGAGCAGAAGGAACATCGTGCTGCAGGTGCTAATGACTTGATTCAAACTGCTACCAATGAACCAGATTTCCTCAAGAAGGTCATAACTGGAGATGAATCATGGTTCTACAGCTGTGATCCGGAAATGAAGGCTCAGTCGTCCCAACGGAAACTGCCTGGTTCTCCACACTGAAAGAAGGCACGGCATACTCACAACAAGATCAAGATCATGTTAACTGTGTTTTTGGTTGGGAAGGTGTTGCCCATCATGAGTTTGCCCCTCTGGGCCAAAGAATAAATGAGAGGCACTACCTCCATGTTCTTCATGGGCTGAGATGCAATATGATGAAATGGTTGCGTCTCGTGCAGAGTTCTTGGCGAAACATCAAACCACCCAGGTGACTTAGCCTCCTTACAGCCCAGATTTGACACCCTGTGACTTCCAGCTAAAACTCAAATCACCCTTTGAAAGGGAAGAGATGTCAGACTGTTGATGCGATTCAGGAAAATACAATGAGCCCACTGATGGCAATTCTGACAAAGGAATTTGCAGAGTGTTTTGAACAGTGGAAGAGATGCTGGGAGAACCGTGTGAGGTCCCAAGGTGCCTCCTACTGAGGCATCACTGTCCTATGTACAGTACTTCTTGTATCTTCTTCAATAAACATCTCCATTTTCATGTTACATGGCTGGATACTTTCTGGACTGAACTTGGACACTAATAGGTTCAAAATGGGGAAGTGGAAGCTGCCCAGGTCTTCCTGTTTCCTGGTACAGCTGTAATACCTGTGTTAGGCCTGTATCAGCCTGATTTGAACTCAACTCTTAGTTTGAACAACTGCATTTTTCTCCCCCAAGATTAAAAAAAACCTCTATTTTTAAATTTTCTTGTGCAGTATACAAGGCAGATTAATACAAAAGTGAAACAAACACAGGTCTGTCCAAGGGCCAGCCAAATGTGGGGTCCACCATCAAGCCATGCCCAGCCCCCAGGAGTCCTGTGAGGAAGAGCCAGATCTTCCTACATGCTTACTTATTCCTCCTTCTCTGCTAGTAGATCTCCATGACAGCTGTGGTGATGAAGTTACTGGGCCACACTGAAATTAAAGTACATGGACGGTATGGTGAGGTGTACTTTCTTTTCCATGTCAATAATTTTATTTTTTCTCTCTCTCTCTCTCAGCTTTTGGCATTTGGATACTGGGTCTCTGGCCCTTGCTCCCCACACAGATGGGAGCACTCATGGGACTAGGCAGATGCTGGACCCACCAGGGCTTAGGCTCTGCATGGTTGGAAGCCTGCTCCTGGAGGCAGGGTCCACGCTGGGCTATGTGCCCCTCTGGGCTCCAACCTCTGCTATGGTCCAGGGCAGCACAGCACATGGTTTCCTGAACTGCTATACGGAGACAGAGCAGCGCACCCCAGGTCCTGAATAAGAGCTGCTGTAAGAAGCCAGCGACTTTGAAACCCACGAGAGCACCTCCCGAAGGGGACAGAGATCTGTTTGCACAGCTGGCTTAAGGACAGATAAGGAAACAGGGAACTTCTGGGCATGGTTTTGGCTTGTAGTCTTTAGAGAGCAAGAGAAGTTCTGGGTCTCCTGGGAAAGAAGGGCTCAGAGGAGAAGCGCTCTCAGCCCCGCCCCCCCCAATCAGAACCCTGTTAATAAAAACCTGTTTCCTTAAAAAGTAATAATAAAAATTTCATTGAAAGCTAAATCCCCTAGCACTAACACTTAATCGGAGTGTGTTAGGTCACCTCTGCCACTCAAATGAGCGCCAATACTTTAAAATTATCTAAGTATACCAGCTATTTAGGAAAACTGGAAAGTTATCCATAAAATGTAGTTTGAAACCTTACTGTAAGATATCCTGTGGCTCTTCAGTTCATTTTCAATGCAGGACTCACCCAAAAAATGATATAAAGAGTAAATCTGAATTACAGGTAGCCATTCTGAACTGAGGCTGCAGAGTGACCGTTCACGACACTTCGCAAGGGCAGGTCCCTCACGCTCACGGACTCACCCAGCAGATCCCAAACGCCGCCTCGACCACCTCACAATCACAACGTTACCCACTGACTTTTCAAGACTGTTTTAATACTGTAGGGACATTAATAAAAATTTACATGCTTTCTATGCAAAATTCTAAATTGGAGGCAATGGTGGTTTTGCAAAAACAGTGCTTATTAAAAAGCTTCTGGAGTGTTAACTCCACCCGAACTTACATTAGTGGGAAAAGCCCGTCTTCAGAGTGATGACTTATATTTTAGTTACTAACACAATAGAAACTGAATGTTCTCAATGGAATTACATTGAGGCAGTATAGACTCTGTTAAAAAAATTTTTTTTATCATGGACACAAAAAGCACCTGTTTTCTATTAAAAAAAAAAACTAACTTAATGAATACACCAAACTTACCAGGTCTATATTTTTGCCTTATATAAAGTGCCCTCAATGCAAATGCCAAACAGCAACAGAGTCCACATTATCATATTATCTAATACTCGGCACACAACGACCATGGTTAAAAAGATACTGGTTCACAGTGAAATGGAAAAGAAAATACCCAGGAACAGAACAGTGAGCTTTTCACAAAGCTAAATTTGTTTAATTTAGACATCTGTCCTTAAGGCAGACATTGACCCTCTTGTTTTGTTTTGTTTTTTGATGGGGATAAGAGTCATTAAAGGCCCTGTCTTTTAAGAGGTAATGTTGTTAACAAAGAGAATGAGATTTAGAGTCAGACCCAGGCTTGACCCCCAGCTCTGCCACTTAATTAATCTCTAGCTATATGGTTATAGGCGGCAAATTACTTGAGGTTCCTCAGACTCCATTTCTGATCTATGAATTGGAGAGAAGAACTGCCCCACAGAGAGACCTAAAGTCCCACCTGGTTAAGTCCCAACTCCACCAGCACAAGTTTATCTCTAACACATCTACTGTATGGAGAGGTTACATTCACAGCCTTTGGAATCTCACAGATCTGGGTTTGCAGCCTGGGTTCTGCCACCTACTGCCCATGTGGTCCTGGGCAAATTTCTCACCTCTCGAGTCCCCCTTTCTCCATTTGTTAAATAATAGCTCACTAAGCTATTATGACAATTAAATGAATTATATATGTATATATAAAATTAGGAAGGTATCTGACATACTGTAAGCAATAAAAACACTGAATGTATATTTATAGACATCTAGATACCTATGTCTATAAATAGCTCATTCTATCTCCTTTCCATTTCCCTCCTAGTTTCCTGCTTCCCTATTTCAACACCTTCCACCTTAGACAGAGCCTATCTGCTACTATTTCATCTGCTTAGCAACATCCAGTTTGGCCCCATGTAACTCTTACTATACCTTTAGAGCTCCCATTCTGTTCTGAAAGTTGTATTCTAGAACTTCTCCCGTACTTGCCTACTTCCTCACCTCTCTTAAAATCTGACTAGTCAACTCTGTGTCTGTGGGTTCCAAGTCTATGGACTCAACCGACTGCAGAGCGAAAATATGTGGTGGTGGGAGTCACATTACTGGCATGTACTATGTAGTTAGGCTCATGATAATTGCATGCGTAACTGAACATATACAGACTTTTTTTGTCATTATTCCCTAAACAACATAACAACTATTTTTTTAAATTTTTTTATTGATTATGCTGTTACAGTTGTTCTATTCCCCCCTTCATTCCCCTCCACCCTACCCCCGTCCCCACCATTACCCCCCCCTTTAGTTTATGACCATGTGTCTCAAGTTCTTTAGATTCTATATTTCCCATGCTATTCTTGCCCCCCATCTATTTTCTATCTACTGTCTATGCTACTTATTTTCTGTACCTTCTCCCCCCTTCTCCTCCTCCCACTCCCCTGTTGCTAACCCTCCTTGAGATCTTCATTTCTATGTTTCCACTCCTGATCTAGCTGTCCTTTTAGTTTGCTTTTGTTTTAGGTGTGGTTGTTAATAACTGTGAGTTTGCTGTCCTTTCACTGTTCATGTTTCTTTAACTTCTTTTTCTTAGATAAGTCCCTTTAACATTTCATATAATAAGGGCTTGGTGATGATGAACTCCTTGAATTTGATCTTATCTGAGAAGCACTTTATCTGTCCTTCCATTCTAAATGAAAGTTTTTCTGGATAGAGCAATCTTGGTTGTAGGTCTTTGGATTTCATGACTTGGAATACTTCTTTCCGGCCC